TCAGACCATCAGGCTTGCAGGGTTGCTCTGTTTTACCCACTGTGCTGTCTTGTCAAACCTAGAACGCACTTTTAAGAACACAGCTGAGACTGGGGATTGGGTTGGCAGCAAAGAGCAATTCCTCTGTAAGCATGAGGGTCTGCGTTTGCTCTCTAGATCTCTAGAGGATCGCTAATGCTCATTAAAAAGTCAGGTATACTGCATATTGCTGGGCATGTGTATGGTATGTGTCACTAAAATGTCAGGTATAGCACGTGTGTGTGTGCGTGTGTGTGTGTCTGTGTGTGTCTGTGTGTGATCTTGGCGTGACTGGGATGGTGGGTAACAGAATACGCCATGCAGACAGAACTTGAATACGGAATTTATTGAGATAAAGAGAATGGGAAGGAAAGAGAATGAGAGAGTTGGGGAGGAAGAGAGAGGCAGAGAGATTGGGAGTGGATGGAGCTTGTCTCTTAAAGGGATCTTTGCACTTGCCCACAGCTATAGGGACCTTGCCATGCTCAGAGAGGTGATTGTGTCAGGTTCCTAAGGGGCAGGGCAAAGGTGTGCCTGGATACTAACACTGTGTCACTAAAACGTCAGGTATAGCGCATATTGCTGAATGTGTTTGTGTCCTGAGAACTCAGTGATCAGCCAGCTTAGCGAAAATGGAGAGCTTGCAGTTTAGTGGCAGTTTCAGAGTTGGTTGTTGTTGTTGTTATTTGATTGGTTGGTTTCAGACAAAATCTTGGTTTGATGTCCAGGCCAGACTAAATTGCTACCCTCCCCACTAGTTTATGTTTGTTATTTTTTTAAAAAATATTTATTTACTTATTATGTATACAATATTCTGTCTGTGTGTATGCCTGAAGGCCAGAAGAGGGCACCAGACCTCATTACAGATGGTTGTGAGCCACCATGTGGTTGCTGGGAATTGAACTCAGGACCTTTTTTTGGAAGAGCAGGCAATACTCTTAACCTCTGAACCATCTCTCCAGCCCTATGTTTGTTATTTTAAACACCAGATGGTGTTGGCACACGCCTTTAAGCTCATCACTCAGGAGGCAAAGGCAGGCGGATCTCTGTGAGTTCGAGGCCAGCCTGGTCTACAAGAGCCAATTCCAGGACAGGCTCCAAAGCTACACAGAAACCCTGTCTTGAAAAACCACCAAAAAAAAAAAAAAAACCAAGCAAACAAAAAAACAACCTTTTGGTAGTGATAGGAAACAAACATTTCAGTTGTAGTTAAAAGGAAAAGGGACTCACATAACTAGAAAAGTTATGATTTTAACTTGCTCAAATACAAGACCAAATATAGTTGAGACAAATCCCAGTTTATCTTGGTGATTCTTAGAGTTCAAGCATCGTGTTCTTCAGAATACTTTCTCTAACTTCTGAAATGAGGTTGTCTTTATGCCATTCTATACTGCTTCTGTCACAATGTGAATCAAATCACTTTGCTGTATACTTTTTATTGTCTACTATTTCCTAGTAAACTGAGTTATGCAAAAGAAATAACTGAATAGATTACAGTAGTATTTATTGAAACTTTATTGAATAAAGTGAATACCCAAACCAGATAGTCTTATACTGTATAGATCTCCACTTTGCTTCTAGGGATACATTGAGTGAATCACTTGACAACTCAGAATATAGTTAAGAATGTGTTGCTGTAATAATTTATTTTATTTTATTTATATATTTATTTTTAGGCAGGATCTCTCTACATAGCCCTGACTGTCCTGGAACTCACTATGTAGAGACCATGCTGGCCTCAAACTTACAGTAATACTTCTGCCTTTGCCTCCCAAATGCTGGGACTAAAGACTTGCACTATGATGCCTGGTATGGTAATCTCTTAAAACAGTCTTTAAATCAATCCATTGTTGGCACATTTTTGGAACTTTTGGGAAATTTTGCTTTGTAAATAGGTTGGATCTGAGACAGTATTGTCTAAAGAATTTGTGGTGGTGGTGATGGGCCTTTGTTATCTGTACCATCACATATTGCAGCATTAGATTCTTGTGGTTATGGAGTACTTGGGTATGACTGAGGAACTCAGTTTAAAAGGCTATTACATTTCTTTTTGGCATGTGTGTATGTGTGGTTACCTGTATGGAGGGCGGAGGGCAACCTGAGAAAATAGGCTTCCTCCCTTCACCATATAGGCCCCAGAATAGAATTCAGGTTGTCAGGCTTGACAGCAAGTATGCTCACCTACCCAAGGAACTCAGTTTTAATTTCTGAATATAACAAGCAAATTGAAATGACCACATACAGCTTTTTATACCGTATTTTTTACGGTATAGGCTTTCCCATCATTTTTTTAGTGATTGTTCACACTCCTCATCCATTTTTGTCTACCAGCTGCCTTGCTTTCTCTTTATCTGTTTTTTTTTTTTCCATTTTCCCTGTCCATGTGGGTTAAAATGTATATATGTATGTTTACTGTACTTGTGGGATTCTGGGGAAAAAAAGGTAGATAGATGTAGATGTTTCCTTTATCATCCTGTATAATATTCTATATATATTATGACTTAAAAGCCCCTGGTCACCCTGAGGGCTATCTACAGAATATATTTCATCTAAGGTAGGACACCAACTCTGTTCTTCAATGTATAAATTATAATTCTGTTAATGAGTCATGTGAGATTCTCTACTCAAATCAATATTGTTGATAAGACCATCACTTTCATATAAAAATGCCTAGGTTCTTGTTTGTTAAGTTATATAGTTTTAGTTTCTCTTTCTTCACTTACTTTAAAATTATGGTGTATACTACTGTGCTGTGCCTTCTGTAGATATTTGGATGCTCCTTCTGTTTCAGTTATGGAGATGAAGGTCTTTTAAAATATATTCCTTAAGTATTTATCTGTAGGATATTTCATTTTTAACTACATTTTTCCAATTATATAAGTGATAAGATTGGAGAAACTTTGATTTTGTGTGTGTATAAACACTAAGAAAGAATTCTCATATCATTGCTTACAAGATAACATTTTTAACATTTTACAATATATTTCTATCCCCAAACACACTTATTTTTGTATATGTACTTTTCTCTTCAGTACTTACAAGTTTACTAGAAGATATTTTGTAATCTTCTTATATAACAATATATTGCCACTGTTTTCTAATAATACTGATTTCTTTGAATGTTGAAAGGAAATGTAAGGTGATTTTTCCCTTTGTATTAACTGATCTTTCATATTTACAGAACAATAAATAAGTGTCAAGTATTCATTAGATCTGTCCTGTGCCAGTCTGAGCAAAGCAGATGCAGAGTTGGTAAAAATATCATCTGACTACTTAGTACTTGAGCAGGGCTTACTTTTTCCTGCAGTAAAGAAAATCAAAGTTAGCTTTCTTAAGAAAAACGTTTCTTGTGGCTGGTGAAATGGCCCAGTGTCTATAAAGCATTTGGCCTGGAATGTGGGTCCCTGGAACTCAACATTCATAATGGTCTTCCTGTAATCCCAGAGCAAGCTGGCTAGTCAGACCAGTGAGAGAGACCGTCTCAATATGTAAGATGGAGAGCAGTCAAAGAGTGCGCCAGTGTCAGTCTGGGGCTTCCATGTCCACCCCTATACACGAATACACATGCATACATAGCATACACAGACACATTTCCACCCACTACCCAAGAAAAAGAGAAAGGTTCCCTCAATTGTGGAGGATACAGGAAGAGGATTAGAAATTCAGTGTTGGAGGAGGGCCCGCTTGTTCATCCTTGCCGCCTGGCTAGCTTAGCCCTGAAATAACCACACAGAAACTATATTAATTAAATCACTGCTTGGCCCATTAGCTCTAGCTTCTTATTGGCTAACTCTTACATCTTAATTTAACCCATCTCCATTAATGGCGTGTATCACCACGAGGTCGAGGCATACCAGCAAAGTTTCAGCATGTCTATCCCTGGTGGCTTCATGGTGTCTCTCTGACTCTGCCTTCTTCCTCCCAGCATTCAGTTCTGCTTCCCTGCCTATCTATGATGTGCCCTATCAACAGGCCAGGACAGTTTCTTTATTCATTAATGGTAATCACAGCACACAGAGGGGACTCCCACATCAGTTCAAGACCAGTTTGGGCTACACAGTAAGATCAGCCTAGACAGCATAATAGGATGAACCCTGTCTCAAAATCAAAATATGAATAATTTTTAGCCAGGTGTGGTAGCATAGCCTTTAATTCCAGCATTGGGGAGGCTGAGGCAGGGTCTTTGTGAGTGTGAGATCAGCCTGGTCACCAGCCAGGCTTACAAGGTGAAACCATCTTAAAATAAATAAATAAAAAGTTTTTTAAGGGTACAAAGGAAAGAAAAGAAAAAAAGATTTTGGGTAATAATTAAAATGATAATTTCATCCAGAACTGCAATGTATAAATGATACGGTATTTCTTTGTTAGTGTTATGGGAATTTATTCTGCCAATAATACTATAGCGTGGTTTCAGGTTAGATACAAGTGTATTAAAGGGTTAATATTAAATAGTTGGTTGTTGCTGTAATCACCAAGTCAATTCTTTAGATCTTCATAAAGTACAAAACTCTTCAAATGCTTTTATAGTTTGGTCATCCTTAATCCGCCGTCTGTAGCTAGAGAGCTGGGTTGGCATCTGAATTTGATTCCTAACATTTGTGTCTGACCACTCACAACCCCCTGCAGCTCTAGCTCCTGGGGGAGCTGACACCTCAGCCTTCTGGAGCACCTGTACTCATGTGCACGTACACACAGGCACACATCTGTACATATAATTAGAAAATAAAAATAATTTTTTTCAATTAAATTGAAATTCAGAATGCTTTGAAATCCCAGAACTTTTTGATGTCATGCCAACATTCCAAAATTTTTACATGAAGTGACACTTCAAATTTTGGACTTTTTAAAAGAAATGTTTTTTAGACTGCAAATACTACAAAGCCAAGAAAAACACCAGAGTCCCAAATCCGTGAAAAAGGATGCTCGCTCTGTATAAGGAAATATGTGTTAGTAGCTGAAAACTACTTTTGTTTCTGTCACAGGTTACGAGCAGGACTGTGTGATCGCTGTGCAGTAACTGAAGAGCATATGCACAAAAAGCAGCAGGAGTTTGAAAATATCCGACAGCAGAATCTCAGGCTTATTACAGAGCTTAGTGAGTTCCCTTTCCTTGTTTACTACATACTTTAAGTCTACTGTCCTGTTGTTAAAACTTACTAGGGAATTGGTTATAATTATATTAATTGCTTACATATTAAAACTTTTGGTGTCTTTTTAGATGTAATCTTATTGTTTTGGTAAGAAACATAGATATGTATTTATATATACAGTGAGTTATATATGTCCCGTTTACATTGTCCTTAAAAATCTCACCAGGTTTTATAAGAAACATCAAGAAACGTATTTCTGGGCATGTCTATATTTGTTTCTTTTATCTTGATTGAATGCAGTTAGATGCATAATAGAGTTAAATACAACAATGTAGTATGCTCACAAAGGTGAGTACTATCTTGATTTTTTTGTATGTATGTTATTGAGTATATTATTTTCAGTTTCCTCTTTCACATATTCATTGTAGTGTTTTGTTAAATTCTTAGCTCTTGTCTATTAAAGTCTTTTTTTTTTTTTTAAATTTACTTTGGTCACCCCTAAAGAAAAACAGAGCTGCCACATCCTACTGTTTCTACATAATGGTCTGTTTGTCTCTATACCTCCTCCATTAGTTCAGATAATCTTTTTCTTTCTTTTCCCCTCCCTAACCCTCCCCTTCTTCCCCTCTCTTTTCAAGATAGGGTCTTTCATTGTAGCCCACACTAGCCTTCTGTGCCTGAGTTTATAATCCTCCTACCTCAGCTTCTTCAATATTGGAATTATAGATAATATTTTAGCTTGCCTGGCTCAAGGTACTCCTTTCTTTTAATTATCTTCAGTAGTCATCTTGTCTGTGCTTTGTTTTCATCTTGCTATATGCTGTACTACATATCAACATTTTGATCTTTCTATTATTTGTCTCTGAAAAATGCTAGTTGATTTTCTTAGTTTTATTTAGATTGGTTTTCTGAGCTAGGTTCTCATTCTGCAGCCTAATCTGATCTTGAAGTCGTGGCAATCTTCCTGCCTCGATCTCTCAAATTCTGAAGTTAATAGATTTGAGCCACCATATGCAGTTTTCTGGTAATCTAAAACATAATCCTGTCTTAGTTTCTGTTCTTATTACTCTATAACAAAAGAAACTTAAGGGCTTATCTTATCTTGACTTACAATTCTAGTCCATCACAGCAGGAAAGTCACAGTGGCAAGAGCTTCCTGTAACTAATCATATTGCACCCATAGTCATATGTGCTAGTACTCAGGTCTTTCTCCACTTACACAGTTCAAGATTCCCTGCTTGGGGAAAGGTCCCACACACCTCAACCTAATCAGTCTACTCCCTCATAGGCATGCGTAGATGCAATTTTAGATTTTATCAAGTTGACAGTTAACACTAACCAGAAATTCTGATTTTTTAGTCTAGTTTTAAAAGACATTCATCACTAATTATGCTCAATCTTTCTTTTTGCACAGTAATACTCTATATGAGATAATCATTTGTTCAGCTCATTTATCTTTCTGTGAATAAATGTGATTTATGCTTGCATATGTGAATGCAGGTTCATGTGCCTAAGTGCACATGTGGAGGACAGAGGTCAGTGCTGTGTATCCTCTTCTGCTTTTCACTTTAGTTTTTGAGTTCAGTGAGAGCCCTCTCTCTGAGCCTGGAGTTCACAGTCTTGGCTAAACTGGCTGGCCAGCAGTCCTGGGAAATCTTCCTGTCTTTGCCCTCCTTGCTCCACATTCCTAGTACTAAGGTTACAGACATGTGCTACCATTCCACAGTTTTATGTGGATGCTGGAGACGTGATCTCGGGTTCTCATGTTTGTACAGCAAGCATTTTAACATGGGGCCATCTCCCCAACAACCATTTACTAATTCATTCTTTAAGATTAAAAAGTAAAATTTACTGGACAAATTCTCCAAGAATTCTTGAAGAAATTGTTAGCCCATTATATGAAAGGGCCAGTCAGTCCAGTCTATTTCTAAATAAAAGCAACAGCATTGATGATGGGAATGGTAAAATTGACATCTGGCATAGTATTTCAGCCGGGTGGTGGTGGTGCACACCTTTAATCTCAGCACTCAGGAGGCAGAGGCAGGTGGATCTATGTGAGTTTGAGGTCAGCCTGGTCTGCAAGAGCTAGTTGCAGAACAGGCTCCAAAGCAACATAGAGAAACCCTGTCTCAAAAAACCTACTGCAAAGTTAAGGATTTCAAGACTGAATTTTATACATATTGTCCCATGACTTCCCGTTGTATATTGTTAGTATATGTGAAGAAAAAAATGTTGTGCTATAGAGCGACTTCACATGGATTGTGGTAAGTTTTGCTGTAGGTAAAATGAGATTTTGTTCTTCCTTTCATTGAAAAAATATTTTTTCTAACATAATATATCCTGATTACACTTTCCCTTCCTTCTACTTCTCCCAGATCCTCCTTACCTCCTTCAAACCTGATCTACCCCCTTTCTTCTCTCATTAGAAAACAGACTTCTGTGATAATAAAATGTATTAACATAAAACAAAACTAACATATTGGAATAGGACAAAACAAGCAGAGGAAAAAGAGCCTAAGAGCACACTCAAATCCCTTGAAAACACTAAACTGGAAGCCATTGTATATATGCAAAGGATCTATATGTAGGGTAAAATGAGAGAAGAAAAAAACAGATAAATAAAATCAATTAAAAAATTTATTAAGGAAAAAAGGAAGAGCTCTAACATGACATTGTGAGACAAGGAACCCGCAAAGATGCCATTTGTCTACTGCTGGGCATGCAGCTTACTCTTAAAGCTTGTTTCCCCATGAGACTCCCTTGGAGGAAACTAAATTTTCGTTAGCAAGTGATCATAAGTTGAAATTGCTTCTGAGTTAGGAGTGGGGGCTTGTGTCTACTTCTTTCAGCTCTAATATTCTGTCTCATGCAGACCCATGCAGGTCCTGATAGGAACCTGGGGCTATCTCCAATGGAAGTTACATCCTATAGTTATTTTTCTGCCTTATAAATTAAGCAAGGACAGAAAGATATAATAGAGATAAATTCCATCAGGTACAACTTACGGTAGGACATGTTTAAATTATTCACAAAAAGGTATAAAGAATGATTAATTTTACAAATGTGCTTATAAGTATTTTACTAATATTGAGCATTATTATTTGTAATACTCAATATCAAACCCAGACCTTGGGAACACTAGGAAATACTATTTTTGTAATTAAATTTATTTCAAGGTATCTAAAATAATATTTGAAAATAGGACTGAATAACTCAGATGGAATTTTTTCTTGTCCTCAGTGTGACTAATTAGACTTTACTCCTTAATATTTTTTTACTCATAAGCATTATATAAAATTATCAATTAATCAGTTACATAGAATTGGCATGATATGAAATGCAGTAATCACTACGCAGGAGCAAGCTAGTTTTGCACAGTAGTACTTGCCTAGCATAACATTGTGATTTAGGATTTGAAATCGTCATTTCTGGCCAGGTGTCAGCAATCCCTTTTAAGAAGTTGAAGCAGGAGAATTTCTGTGTTTTTCTTTTTGTTGTTTTTGGGTTTTTTGTTTTGTTTTGTTTTTGAGCCTATCCTGGCCCATATACTGAGTCTCAAAACAGCCTGGGCTACGCATTAAAACCTTGTCTCAAAAAAAGAAAAGAAATAAAGTCCTAATTTCTTCATAAATGTTGCCATTTTAAGAACTGACATGGACATCAATCTGCTTTCTCTTCCATGTTGATAAGTGAATGAGAAGAATACTCTTCAGGAAGAAAACAAAAAGCTTTCTGAGCAACTGCAGCAGAAAACTGAGTGAGTATTTTCTCTCAGCTGCAGCGAGAGCATTCTTCTACTTTTCTTGCTTTTATCATATTTAGTTGTACAAACTGACAATATAGTCACAAATCTCATTTTTTAAAAGTTATGAAATGCTGTACAATAAGAACTTCAAAGAAAAATCACTGCATTTTGTTTATGTTTTAGGGTAATATCTATCAACATCTTAAAACATTTAGAGCATCAAATAGCATAAATAGTAGAAAAATTATTTAATTACTTTATATTTCAAATAAATATTTAAAATTATTTACTTCTTTTTCCAATGTTGTAGAAGCTTCATAAGAACTCTTGCAGAATTCTTAGGCATATAAAACAACTTCCCTCTTCTATTTTTGTTCCCTCTTCCTTTCTCTGTAGGAATGAAAATAACTTTTTATTCTCCCATTTTTCCATGCTGTTCTGCTTTGTATCATTCCTAATCCATGCTGTGATTCTACAGAGTAGTTTATTATCCATATTTTACAGATGAGAGAAGCAAAGCTCACAAAGTCAAATGACTTACCTATAGTTTCATCACTAGTGAGTAGTACGAACACCAACCAAACCTATTTCTTCAGACTTAAAAGCCTTGGTTTATTTCTACTGTGTAGCACTATCTCAAAATGTAGAAACATACTTTTTTTCTAGTGTGGTCTGACAAAATTCAGAGTAGTGATATGGCTTACTTCTAGTTCCCACTGCACTGGCTGGTTTCATGTCAGCTGGACACAGGTGGAGTTATTTGGGAAGAAGAAACTGGTTGAGATAGTTTCCCTACCAGATTGGTCTGTATACAAGCCTGTGGAGCATTTTCTTGATTGATTGTTGTGGGAGACCTCAGCCCATTGTAGATGGTGCTACACTTAGGCAGGTGGTCCTGGGTGGTAAAAAAAAAAAAGCAGACTGAGCAGGCCATGAAGAGCAGGCCAGTAAGCGGTGTTCTTCCATGTCTCTGCTTCAGTTCCTGCCTCCATTTTCCTGCCTTTAGTTCCTGTTTTGATTTCCCTTCATGGTGCACGGTGATCAGGACATGTAACCTGAAATGACCCTTTCCTCCCAAGTTGCTTTTGATCATGATAGGCGCTCGTTTCTGTTTTGGTTTGGTTTTTGGTTTGTTTGGTTTGGGATTTTCAAGACAGGGTTTCTCTATATAGTCTTAGCTGTCCTGGAACTACCTCTGTAGATCAGGATAGCCTCGAGCTCACAGAAGTCCACCTGCCTTTGTCTCCTGAGTGCTGGGATTAGAGGCATGTTCCACCTCCACCTGTCCTTGATCATGGTGTTTTATCACAGCAATGGAAACCCTAAGATACTTATGTAAAATTTTATTGTTTTAGAGTTTTTGTTGTTTTCGCTTTGTATTTAAGTTTTGAAATGGAGTCTTGGGTCTCACTACATTTGTTAATCAGGTGGTTTTGAAATTGTGGTCTCAAGAACCACAAGTTAACTGACACAGCAGGCATACTAAGATGGCTGCCTTCTGTGTGTGTGTGTTTCTTTTTTTAAACTGTTACATTTGGGTAATCCCTTTGGTGTGTGGTGTTACAGAATTTTTTTTTTTTAAAGAACATTAGTGTTTTGCCTACATGTATGTCTGTGAGGATGTCAGGTCCCCTGGATCTTGAATTACAGACAGTTGTGAGCTGCCATGTGGGTGATGGGAATTGAACTTGGGTCCTTTGGAAGAGTAGTCAGTGCTCTTAACTGCTGAACCATTTCTCTAGCACCATGTTACAGAATTCTTAATATCCTGTTACATTTAAATAGGCATCTAACACAGGCAGTGGCAGCGCGTGGCTTTGATCCTAGGAAGGGAAATAGGTGAATCTCTGAGTTCAAGGCCAGCCTGGTTTACAGAGTGAATTCCAGGACAGCTAAGGCAACACAGAGAAACCCTACCTTGAAAAACCAAGAAACAAACAAACAAATAAATAAATAGGCACCACCAAAAACTCAAGACTAGAAAAGACTAAGTCTATAATGAGTGTGTGAAAATGCAAGCACTCCTCTTCTGTGATGAAAAGGGGTCTGAGCCCCAAAGTTGTTTGTGTTTATTTCGTGTGTTGACAACCTGTGTTTATTTCAACTGCCAGAGTGCTATGTGTAGTCTGTTTATCTTACTCTATGTGAATAGTCACATGTTTTACAGTGACTGTATCAAGGTATTTATTGCTAATGATGCCTCAGACTCTACTGCATGTGTTACAGTCTGTGTGCTGTGTAGTTTCATTAAAAATAAATCTGAATATTTCTTGCTTCCAAGGATTTCAGATAGGCTATTTTTGACATATTTTTATTTGCAACATGATCTAGCACATGTAGCATATGATACATTAGCTTTGAAAGTATTAATCTTGTTATTTGCATCTTTAAATGCCAGCAGATAAGACACTAAGTGTTTAGAGAGTATGCAGAATTAAGTGGGTGTTTGCCTAAAAGCCTAAAGTGTATTAAGTATATTGAAACTAAATTGTCATTTGCTTGATAGATACTAGTTTTGGTCTGGAGAGAGGGCTTGGGTTAAGACTGCTTACTACTCTTGCAGAGGATCCAGGTTCAGTTCCCAACACTGTTATAGCTGCTCACAATTGCCTGTAATTCCACTTCCAGGAGATTCTCTTTTCTGACCTCCGCAGGTTCCTGCATGCATGTGCTACACATGCATACACTTTGACACACACATATATACACTAAATAAATATTTTTTTAAAAAGAAATATTAATTCTAATCTTGGTCTTGTGTTTTTTTTTTTTTAAAAAAGTACTGGACTGGAGAGATGGCTCAGTGGTTAAGAGCATTGCCTGCTCTTCCATAGGTCCTGAGTTCAATTCCCAGCAACCACATGGTGGCTCACAACCATCTGTAATGAGGTCTGGTGCCCTCTTCTGGCCTGCAGACATACACACAGACAGAATGTTGTAGACATAATAAATAAATTAAGTAAATATTTTTTTTAAGAAAGGTACTACAATAAAGACTTCTCACATAGACAAACTCAAAGTACAAGTGTTTTATTTAGGATATGCTTAGTCAAAACAGTGTAGAAGGGGCTTTCTTTGATCAAAGGAGTCTACACAGAATTTCAGAGGATTTGTTTTATTGCCTCTAAAAGTGAATTTGTTGTGTGATGTCTTCAACCATTGTTTGAGCAGTTTTGGTGTAAATTCATTGTTTCCCAAGAGTATTTATTTTTTAGCAAGATGAAATTTTTGACATGTTTTCTAAGCTTGTTTAGAATTACAGTGTTGTGATCCCAGCTTCACCTCCTGGGACCATTGGAAACGCGAGTCTTCTTGTTCTACTTGACTTCACTCAAAACAGCTGGCTGGCTCACCTTACTCTTTAATTTGTTGACTGTCCTTCATGAAGGCTCTTCAAAGTGCCATTAAATTTTTGCTCAGTGATCCAGGTAGGATCTAAACACAGAGCAAGGCTGCCAATGCCTCATCTTTGTTTCTTTTTACTTACGCATATTTAGCGAATATTAAGTAAAATCAAACATACATATTAATTTATCTTTTCTCTGCCCTCTACTTGCAAATTTGTTATTTTAAATATAAATGCAGGACTTTAGAGACATGGCTCTAGTAATAAAGAAATAATCAAGGTTTCTTTTCTTTTTTAAAAAGATTTATTTATTTATTAGGTATACAGTGTTCTATAAGCACGTATGCCCTGCAGGCTAGAAGAAGGCACCAGATCTCATTATGGATGGTTGTGAGCCATCATATGGTTGCTGGGAGTTGAATGAACTCAGGACCTCTGGAAAAGTAGCCAGTGCTGTTAACCTCTGTGCCATCTCTCCAGTCCAATGAAGGAACCTTTTATTATCTATTTTACACACACACACACACACACACACACACACACACACACACACTCACTTTTCTTTTGCTCCTTTTTAAATCTTTGTTAATGTTTTGATAACCTTTTTTCATCCCCCATGTGTATATGTGTGTGCACACATGTTGATTTATCTTTGTGTATTAGAACAGCTGTGTGTTTGCAGTTGTGTGTACATGTCAACCTTAGGTATTTTTTCTTATCTTCTATTTAAAATAGGATCTTAGTCACTGCTGCTTGTATCAGGCTAGCTTGCTTGTGAGTTCCTAGGGATTTATGTGAGCTCTCAAGCTTCTGCTTTCTGCCTGCCTGCCACTATGCTCTCCTCCCTAATGGTCATAAACTCGAACGCTCTGAAACTGTGAGCCCCAAATAAACTCCCTTGGTCATGGTGTTTTATCATAGCAATAGAAAAGAAACAGCGTGTGTGTGTGTGTGTGTGTGTGTGTGTGTGTGTGTGTGAGAGAGAGAGAGAGAGAGAGAGAGAGAGAGAGAGAGAGAGAGAGAGAACGTGTGTAGTAATCAAAGAATAACTTGGGAAAGTCAGTTCTTTCCGTCGACTATGTGGATCCCGGGATCAAACTCAGGTTACCAGACTTAGCAACAGTCTGCTCACTGGCTGAGCCATCTCAGTGACCCACCAGCATCTGTTCTTGTGCTGTTGCCTTTTCTAAGGTTTGCTTCATAACTCTTTAGTGAGGGTGGCTCCTGTGTGCTGCTGCTTCCTCTGATCCATATCAGGTCTGTTTTTATTCTCTTGAGCTTTACGTCTTTCACAGGTTTAAATGACTACTATCAGTACCTTGTATCAAGGTCATTGATAAAATGTTGGGCTAAGTATGCCTGAGGTTGATAATAACTTGTATCTGGAGTCTGTGTTCATACCATGTTTGTGTTTCCTTTTTTGTTTATTGTTTACGGTGAGAGGCTATCAAGAGGGCCACTTTCAGATTTTTCCGATAGCAGATGCTCAGTGAACCATTCCTTAAGAACATTGTTCTAGTAATGCTACTTTTAAAAATCAGCCTTTGAATTATTTATATGACAAGCATATTGATTTGCAGGGATTAAGGTATCAGATTATTTGTGCTTTATGGGATCTTCTCCTTTGAAAATGAGAATTTTTAAATAATAGCTTGATGGCTGTAACATTGCTTTAGTGAGTTTAAATTACATTTTTACTGGAGATACAAATTCTTCAAAGTACCAAAGGAAAAAGCTAAATTTTAAAAAACATTTAAAGTGAACTCCTTATGAAAAGAAACCCTGGCTCCTCCTAGATCACTGAGAAAGAATACTAAAGCAGTTTGGATGGAAGTTTTAAGAGGCCGACTACAAATTAAACAGCAGCAAACACTGACAGCGTCAGAAGGAAAAGCTAAAAAGGAAAATGGCAGGTGCATAACTAAATGACAGGAACTCTTTAATTTTTTTTTTTTTGGAAAAATCAAGATGGAGCCTAATGTCTTAATTAAATTAATTAAATTTAAATTAATTAAAACAAAAATTGTACTTCTCTGTTACCTGCTTTTTCGACCAAAGAGGGTAAGAATATGTACAAACTTGTTTACTTAGCTAGGCACTGCTAGATAGAGCTGCTCTGCGGTTTTGGGTTGGGGGGGAGTTGTTTGTTTGTTTGTTTTTGTCTCTTTTGCAGTTCCCAGCCCCTTGTAGGGCTGGATGTAGGTTTCTGTGACTCATGTTTCAGGTTGAATGCTTATGACTAATAAGAAAGCAGACAGTGGTGAGACTAGTTCAAGCTAGGTCACCATAGTTTTACACTCCATTAACTTGCAAGGATCTAACTTTCGTTTTTATAGAGTAAGACTACTACTAAGTTACTAAAAATTACATGTTAAATATATTGCACAGAATGGTAACTAAAATATAACACATTGTTTATTTAAAGTTTGGTACAAATATAGGTTTAAAATGTTTTACTTTATAATTCACTTTGGATTACAAAGTGAATTTACTAGTCAGCTTGACTTAATCATTCCATAGTATCACATCAAAACATGATATACACATGTAGTGCCTGTGTTTATATACACAATGATTTTTATCAATGAGAAAAAATAGATATTAGTTCTAAAGTTGTCTTTTATAATGTTATAGAATTATAGATAACAAATAATGCTGATTTTATTCAGAAAATTAAAGTATAAATATTTGTTAGGGAAACATTTGTTTTTGTCGTGGATTTATTTTTATTTTATTTTTTTTGTGTGTGTATGTGTGTGTATTTGTGTGCATCATGGTACACCTGTGGAGGTCAGAGGATAGCTCTGTACAGTCATTTCTCTCCGTCCATCTTTCCATGTATTAAGGTTGCCAGTCACATAACACACACCGGCTCATCTCACCAGCCTTCTATCAGTCTCTGGTGATTGTAGTTTATAAAATTCTTAAGTAGTTCTTTGAAGTCATGTAACAAATTAATTTTCAAATAATATAACTAGTTTGGTCTTTAAAAATTAAATGGTTGACAGAATAGTACTGTTGATTAGTTAATAAGGTCAACAGTGGTTTGGCATAGGTCATTAAGTAATACAACTCAATCCAAACCCAATTTTTCTATGTGTCGTTGGCCCTGAATCAAGTTAGGCAAGAACAGTTGCTGAGATCATCACAGATTTATTTCTTTAATGAAACCTGAAAATGTCAGTCATTCACTCAACAAATCTGTGTACTACCCATTACATACTTGTTCTTTAGATTCTTGTGATTCATCATGGTAATCAATAAACATCATAAGTTACATACTTTGTTAGGTAGCATTTTTATGATAGATAAACAGAAGAACCAGAAGGAGACTACTTTACGGAGAGGAGTTCCAATTTTAACATTAAAATTTTAGCACAGGCCAAACACATGCCTATAATCCAGGCACTCAGGAGGCTGAGGCAGAAGGATAAATTTGAGACCAGCTTGGCCTGCTTAGTTAGGTCCTACTTCATTAATATGGTAATAAGGAATGAAATTACAGCAAAGACATAAATAAAGGATATGAGTATCCATGTGGGCAAGGACACTCCAAACAGAATGGCTAAAGCACTGAGCCTAAGACAGAAGTATATGTAGCATGCTTGGGGAACCTCAGACTTGTATTCTTAGTGAAGTGGAAAGATGTGCAGGGTTGTGATCATATAATTGATAAGACTTGAGTTTGAATAGGACTGTTGTGACCGCTGTGTTGAGAGATGGGGTAAGCAGAGCTTGACAGAAGCAGGGATAGGCGCCTACTGTGGTTGGTCTTTAGACTCAGGATCTACACTAAAAGTAACTTACCTCCAGAGTCTACGCTAAATTTAAGTCCTAGCTCTTTTACTATTGGAATAAGTGACTGTATTTTTATTTCTTTATCTCCTAATTGCAAAATAAGAGTAAAATAATATTTTACACAGTCATAGTAATAAAGTCATACATAAAGCACTTTGGATATATCCTGGAAATGTAAACCCACAACAAAAGTTGATAGCTTGCATGTCAACATTATCGTCCTGTGTACCATTTGTTTCCACTACCACATCGTTTAACATTGGTCATTTCCTTTCCATACATGTATGAGTATCACAGTTCAAACCCCAGAATCTTGCCTGCTCTTTTACAGTCCTGTCTAATTGGCTTCCTTTCTTTCTTCCTGTTCCAATCAGTCTTGTACGCTCTTGCTAAATTATCAAATCCTTTTATGCTCTAAACCTTAATTCTTTTTCTCTTCGGTTATGGACACATTCACTCAGGGTGTCCTATAATTCCAGCTTTCCCTTAGGCAACACAAGTATACACTTTTGCATACCTTTCCTCACGCTGTGTGGCTTCTTTGCCATTCAAAATACCTTTATTTTTACCTCAGAACACTGCAATCTGTACTTTCTACTTCAATTCCAAATGTTTCAAATAGTTTAGATTAAGAATTCTAGTGATGTTCCCCACTTTGTACTGACTTATTTGCATACTTCTCTGGTCTCTGACTTTGGAACATTAGATGCAAGGTTTAGCATCTCCTTTATTTTTGCATGTATATTCTACCATAGTTAACAGATATTTAGTAGATGTTTTATATTTACAGATTCATTCTCTTTTAATTTGTCATTTTGCTCTAGAAATGATCAACAGGATCAAGTAGCTGAGCTTGAATGTGAGGAAAACATTATCCCAGATTCACCAATAACATCCTTTTCATTTTCTGGCGTTAACCGACTACGAAAAAAGGAGAATCTCCATGTTCGATACATAGAACAAACAAATACTAAATTGGAGCACTCTGTATGTACAAATGGTAAGGGTCAGAGTTGTGTTTTAGCTGCTTTTGTAAAATCTTCACTTACTGTGTTTATGTAATACGGTTTGGTGAAGGAAGATGAACATTGTTCAGATAATCAAGGCTATCACTGTGAATTTAACTTCCATTAGTAAAATGACTAATAAGGTATATTTCTGCTGGCATTATATACAACCATGAGCAGTATGTCCATCTGAATATGTGCATAATTTTATGTGTGTGTTTGTGTCTGAGTAAATATATATGTGCCTGGAGCTCATCTGTGAGGTCAGAATAGAGTATTGGATTCCTTGGAACTGGAATTACAGGAGGCTGTGTGCTACAATGCCTTATGGATGCTAGGAACCAAGCCCAGAAACTGCAAAAGCAGCAAATGCTCTTAACTGCTGATCCATCTCTCCAGCCCTCTGCATAGATTTTTTTTAATATATATATTTCATTGAACTTATTTTTTTTTTCTTTTCGAGACAGAGAGTCTCTCTGTACCCTTGACAGTCCTGAAGTTTACTCTGTAGATCAGGTTGGCTTCAAACTCACAGAGATCGGTCTGACTCTGCCTCCAGAGTGCTGGGATTGAAGGCATGTGCCATTATGCCTGGCTTAATGTATCCCTTTTGTTTGTTTTAGTTTTTTTGGGTTTTTTTTTTTTTGAGGTAGGATTTCTCTTTGTAGCCTTGGTTATCTTGGAACTTGCACTGTAGACCAGGCTGTTCTTAAACTCAGATCCCCTTGTCTCTGTCTCTCAAGGGCTGGAGATTAAAGGTGTGCTCTATCATGCCTGGCTTGTGGAAACTATTCTAATTCCATCCCAGTTTACTATTGCAGCTAAATGCTTCAAAAACTACCTTCTCAAATGGTCTAATACTTGTAGCTTATGTGACATGACATTGTGATTGTTTTTTAATTCCCCATTTAAACTTAAGAACAAAGACCAATTCTTAATTCAGAATATTTTAAATGTTTTGAAAAAGGAGGTCTGTTAAGTTGTAGAGATATTTGTATAAAGTGAATACTTTATGCTTTAAAAAGTAAGTAGAGCTATGTGCCTGGAGAGGTAGTTTAGCAGATAAGAACAATGGCTGCTCTTTCAGAAAACTCAGATTCAGTTACCAAAAAACGCATAGTATAACACAGCCATCTTTAATTCTAGTTCCATGAGACCCATTTCCCTTACCTGGTCTCCATAGACATCAGGCACATATGTGATACACAGATATACATGCAGACAAAACACCCATATACATAAAGTAAAAAAATAAATGAATATAGGATTCTGGAGAGGTGGCTTAGTGGTTAAGAGTACTTGTAACTTGTGCTTACATAGGACCTGGGGTAATTTCCAGCACCTGCATGGTGGCTTACACCCATCCATAACTCAAGTGCCAGGGATCTGATTTTGGCATCTGTGGGCATGTGGTATACGCAGGCAAGACACACATACATGTAAATGTATAAAATAGATAAATCTTAAAAATTAATTAGAGCTTTATTCTTTGAAAGTATAAATGAGTCCTGTTACACTTGCACTGAAAGTAAAAGTGTACTGGTCCTATAAAGAGACCCGGAAAACTAGACTAGAATTAAGTGGAGAGGGTGATGAGAGGCAGGGTACAGGACAACACTAAAGGCCCTTTGAAAAACCAAATGGAAACCTGCTACTGTAGAAGTTTCCTAAAATATATACGTTTGTGGAAGGAATTTAAATAGAGTCACCATATAAAGGGAGAGGCAGTGTCCCAACTAGACATCTTAAGCCACCAAGTAAAACTTCCAGTGACAGAAATGGGTTACATCTAGTTGAATTGTTGGCCAAAGGGGTCTAATAGACCACCACCTCACAAACATCACAGGCTATTTCCAAGGCTATTGGTTACTCTCCATAACCTGATGATAAGGCCCTCTTGCTGAAGATACAACTTATTTATGTTACTGAACAGGAAATTGAGTTGGTGCCCAGTTAGAAACTTTACCCTTGACTAGCTAGCTTTCATGGTTCTGGAAGGTTCTATACACTAAAAAGGAAAAAAACAATCAGTTTCACCCACGTACAAAGCCTGCAATCTACAGCAGACATCTGCCTACCAAATAATACAATAGTGGCACAAATGTTGTGGAAGTAATCAGCCACTTTTTGATTGGATTTAGGGCCCACTTAATGAGATGGAGCTCCTGCCTGATGCTACTAATGTGGACAAGAACCTGAAACTAGATAGGTTATGGAGTTAGGGGAAAACCTACTACTGTTATTCTGCCAAAGACATATAGCAATAAAATTGCTGTGCTGACATATTGCCATACCTATAGAGCAGAACACTCTTCAGTCCCTATCAGAGAAGCTTCTTGCAATAGATGGTAATTAACAAAGAGATGTACAGCTGAAAACATACAGAGAGTGAAAGAGTTTGAAGCACTTGACCCTAAATGGGATGTCTTTATCAAATCTGTATCATGGAGGCTCAGGGATGTGTGCAAAAGAAAAGGCGGAAAGGCTGAAGTGGTCGAGGACTCCAGGAAACAGCGTCTTCCAGACAACAGGACTGACACACATAAACTCACAGAGACTGTGACAGTGTCAGCTTCCAGCACTGAGAATGGAGAGTGGGCACAAAAGCCCATCCCTAACTAAGAAGCCATCTGCAGTCGGTAGCTTGCTGGGCAGGGAGCGTCACTAGGTCTATCAACCGTGCTCCAGGCCAGGAGTAGTGAGTCAGCCAGCACAGCTGTGTGTGTGTGTGTGTGTGTTCACAAGTTTTTAAATTTACTTTGTTTCGATGCACAAGTTTTTAAATTTACTTTGTTTCGATGGGGTTTTAGAAATTTTTTTTTCCTGGTTTTGTTTTTGAGAGCAAGAATATGAAGTTGAATTGGAAAGGAAGATTTGGGTGGAGAGAGTCTATGATCAAAATATATTGTATGAAAATTTTTAATAGAAATTAAAATTCTAAAAAAATTAGTTACATCTTTATTTGAAAAATATAAGACTTTGCAGTTTCTTTCAATTGTGAGTTTTCATCACCATCTAGTGGAAAACAAAAGAAATGTTTTTAAATCCTTCATCTAATTGGAGTTAAGTTAAAATATAAGACCCTATGTCTTAAGTGAGCATTTATTGGTCTTTAAGTTTGGGCAGAATATGAATCGTGATCTAGTCATTTGAATGTATAGAAAACGGCTGCAGTGATTTTATTAGTAGTCATTTGTATCCATAAGTCTTCTGTCGTATTTCCTAACTGTAGAAAACAGGCATATAATATAAACACTTTAAATCCTAGTTTTAATCTTACTCTATTTCTTTTTTTAACTTAGAAAATAAGAATAATAAGAAATAATTTAATGACTTAATTAGTGTTATTCTCTTAATCATATTTACTTATCTTAACAGTTTCTAACACTTTTTAGTTTTCAAGTTATAATTAAAGTACAGCTCCATTCCTTTACCTTGTCCTTTTGTCTTCGAACTAAGTATTTAAGCAGTAAAAGTATTTCCAATAAAGCACACCTTAGAGTTTCCTTTCAGGACAGATTGTAAAGAAAGACGACCCAATAACATTTTCAGTAAACGTAGTGCTTTATCCATTAGAAGAAAAGTGTCTGAACTGTCACGACCTAGGTGACTTCGGTCAGAAGAAGCTAACTAGTTTGAGTCCCCTCTCTCCACTATCCTAGCCTGCGCTTTATTTCTCAGTGAGACATATGACTTATGAGAATTGTGTCAATAAAATAATGGCTGTAATGCATTAAAGGCAAATTTATATTGACTTATCAGAATAAAGCTTGATAGCATCTTTTTCATTGTTTATTATGTAACTTTCTTTCTTTCTTTTTTTTCTCAGAATTAAGAAAAATTTCCAAGGCTTTAGCTCCTGCACCACATAACTCTGAGGAACATGAAATTCTAGTAGCTGACACTTGCAATCAAAGTCACTCACCCCGGTCTAGTAAGTAGATACTGAGGTTCTAAGTTTAAGACTGTGGTTGGTGGTAGGCAAAAATGACCAACAGTCAGAATTAGGCAGTATTTTAAAGGTATGGGAGGGTTGTTGTTGTTGTTTTGGTTTTGTTTATTCGTTTGAGACAGGGTTTCTCTATGTACTCTTGGCTGTCCTGAACCTGCTATGTAGACCAGGTTGGCCTCAAACTCAGAGATCCATCTGCCTCTTCCTCCTGGGTGCTGGGATTAAAGGCATATGCCACCACCGTCCGACTTTAAAACTTTGTTTGAAAAAGTAATGTTATGCTAGTATTAATTCATGTTACTATCGAATCGAATACAAAGTTCTAACAGTTTAAGTAAAAAGACTTTATTTTGATTTATTCCTTCATCTTTTAAGTATTTAAGAATCTTCTATGTCAGGCACTAAACAAAGCCTTTGCCATTCTAGAGCTTTCAGTCTGGTGGTGGAAGAAGGAAAACAAAATTGTCAGGCAAAGTCAAGGGTGCACTGTTACTGCTGGTTTTGCCCCTGTTAGGTCTAGGATTCCAGCGATCCTGAGTGAGAAAAGTGACCAGATAGAAGGGTTCCAGGATCCCCAGCACTCCTCAGCTGCAAGGGAGAGCCTGCTGAGTTTTCGGCACCATTGTTAAGAGTTAAGATGTGGTGTAAGTTGGGACCTTCGCAGTTGGGTGAGCATCACAATGGTGACAGAAGACTGCAGAGAGAGCTTGAGTCTGGAGTTTATTGAGAAGAGGTTGTAGAGAGGATGGAGAGAAAGGAGGGAAGGGAGAGAGAGACACAAAGACAGAGAGAGATACAGAGGCAAAGAGGGAGGTAGAAGAGAGGTGGAGAGCTACTTGCTTCTGCAGAAATAGAGAGATTGGAAGTGCACAGAACTTGCTTCTTAAAGGGACCTTTGCACCAGTGTACAGTCAGGGAGCTACTTGCCATGGGTGCCAGGTTCCCAAGGGGCAGGACCAAAGTGTTCCTGGGTATTAACACAAAGAGCTTTGAGTCATCTTAGGTTTCTGCTTCCTCATTTCTAAATATCCTCCAAATTTTATTGATTTGTGCTGTCTCCGTGTGTGTTTATGGAATCTCTATACTGATTTATACGGTCTCCATGGCTGTTTATGGGATCTCTGTACTGACTTGTGCTGACTCCTTGTATGTTTATGGGATCTCTGTACTGATTTTAGCCACCAGCATCATTGGAACTGTTTTAAGTACATTGCTTCATTCTCCTGTCAGAGTTTGCTTCTTGGCCATGAGGCTGTCATAGTCAGAATTACCTTTTTTACCCGAGTATTTACATCTGGCCTGTCAAAATATGGATATTTTCCTTGTTCACAAGAGAAATTCTGAATTCTTTTTTGATTTTTCAAGACAGGGTTTTTCTGTAGCTTTGAAGCCTGTCCTGAAACTAGCTCTTGTAGACCAGGCTGGCCTCAAACTAACAGAGATCTGCCTGCCTCTGCCTCCCAAGTGCTGGGATTAAAGGCGTGCGCCACCACCACCCGGCTGAAATTTTGAGTTCTTAAGCATAATTTGACTCCTAATTCACAGGTTTGGGCTCATATCCTTCTACTTTCATCTTCCTGGCTACAATTCAGTTCCTGGCTATTAAATCACATGTCGTCCTCTGAGCAGCAGTTTGTTGTTGTTTCTCTTTCCCCATATGTCTGTATCCTTAAAGATACCTAAAACTGTACTTTCTGTTTTCCCAATCTTGTTAAGTGGCCAAACTTCCCTTTACCTTCAGGGCCACTTTAGGCATTAGTTTGTATAGTTTATCTTGATTTCCCAAAGGAGATTGAAGGGCCTGCATTTAAAACTTTGTTATATTTTTTACATTCTTTTGCAAATTCTTTTTTTCCTCTTAGAAAACAGAAAGATTCTGTTTTCACCTTTCAAGTGTAATCACTAAGCTCCTTGAGAAGAAAACATAACATGCTTGTTCTACTCAGTTTATGGAAAAAGTAGATGGATAAAAAGGTTTAACAAGTTGGATGCTAAAATACCTGTAACCCATTGCTATTTGTAGAAAATATTTTGAACCTTTTGAACAGAATTTAAAATTTGTTCGCTGTCATCTTAAAAACTGGTACCTTGGTTTCTTTGTTTGCTTGATTGCTTGTTTGCTTTTTGCTAATGTTTCTTTTGTTGTTGTTGTTTTGTTGTTGTTAATGCCGTGATTCTTCTCCTAATCTTTCTGGGTTTTTTTTTCCAATATATCTCCTCTAAAATTGTGTAATGAGCATTCTTTGTTCTTACTTTAGGAATGTGTGGAAGGAGCAATTATCCCACTGATAAGTCACCTTTCAGTCTAGACACTGTTGTCGCTGAAACACTTGGACTTAATGCTCAAGAAGAGTCTGTAAGTAATCATTTAGTTTGATGATTATATAAATTATTAATAATTGATATGTCTACTTGGACCTGTTCTTAAAGAACTAAACAGGCTAGTAGAATATGCTGAAGAGGCAGAAACAGGGACTATGAGAATGAGCAGGAGGACAAAACATTTTTAATTTTATTTAATTAACTTTCTTTCATTTTTTTTACATAAAGACTACAGTTTCCCTTCCATTATCTCTTCCTGTTCCCTACCCATTTCCACCCCACCCCCACCTCCCCATCCACTTCTCTTCTGTTGTGAGCTGCCTCATACGAGTGCTGGGGATCACATCCTAGCCCTCTAAAAGAGGATGTTCTTAACCACTAGGCTGTTTCTCTAGCCCAAAACTGTAGAGTTTTAGTCTCTTTGTTTGTAGTACTGGCCACTAGAACCCAGGGCTTCACAAATATTAGGTTAAGTTCCATTTTGATACAATTTTAAGGACTGAAGATTTAATTTAGCTCAGTGGCAGAGCACTTGTCAGGGCCCCAAGTCTGATTGCTAGCACTACAAAAACAAGCAAATGATAGTTTAAAACAGTCCTCCTATGCTCTTGCCAGTAAATATGTAAGTGCTCTTAGAGAACTGTCTCACTCTTAAATTTCTAAAACTCGATTGATTTTTTTTCTTTACATTTGTTTTAACCTTTTCCAGTTTATCTTAAAGTGACAGTAGGTAACTTTTATCTTCTGAACATTTAAATGTATTTAATAGTTTCTAGTTCCTTACTATCCTCCATAAATCCACCAAGTTCAAGTATCCACTATATATTAAAGTACAAGATATCAAAGGACTTTTCATATAGTCTGATTCACAGGTCAGCAACTCTTTATTGTTCTTGAATGTGTTATAGGCACAGAATCTCAGATCTACTGACCTTGTGTTTTAATAATTCCTGATTGACTTGTATGCACATTAAATTTTGAGAATTCCCTTTAAAGGATTCTTTTAAATTCACCTGTGTTTTCTACCCTTCATCTTAATGGAAATATTTCTATGCAGTTGTAAATTATACTTATGTAAAATATTAAAATAATGGTAGTATATTTTTATATTTTTTAAAATTTAAAAATAAATTTATTTATTTTAAATAAATAAATATTTATTTATAAATTTTATAAAATTTATTTATTTTAGAAATAAAATTTCTAAATTTTATTAAATAAAATTTAGATAACAAACTTAGTTAAAGTCTACAGTATAGGACTGGAGAGATGGCTCAGCGGTTAAGAGCACAGGCTCTTCCAGAGGACCTGAGCTCAATTTCCAGCAACTACATGGTGACTCACAGTGAGGTCTGGTGCCCTCTTCTGTCCTGCAGGGATACATGCAGGCAGAACACTGTATACGTAATAAATCAATGATTCTTTTTAAAAAAAGATTTGTTAAAAAAAATAAAGTCTACAGTATAAGGATATTTTATACATTCACAATATTATACAACTCCCTTCTCTGTTTAATTACCTCTTCATTCTGGTTTCTTTTACTTCATGTACTTTTGAGATTTATTTGCATTGAAGCATTTATCAACTTTCAACATATTTTTCTATTGAAGGAACACCAAGGTCCTGCAAGCCCTCTTGGGGGTGAGCTCTACCACTGTCTTGAAGGAGATCACAAAAAACAGCCTTCAGAAGAATCTGCAGGAAGTAGTGAAGATAGTTTAAGGTGATTTGGAGCATATAATGTTTGTTTGTCTTGTTTTGTTTTTAATGTAGCTCCATAAACCCTTTAAGGCTGAATTTCAGCAATACTCCATGCACCCCACCCCCAAAGTGGCTTCAGATATTATTTTTAGATCCTTTTCCTGAATCATCAAGCAACATTAAGAGTTCCCAATCTTGCTTTATCCTATTAAAGACATAGTCATTACTTTGTGTCTCCAAACACTAAATGGTGTGAAAGATGCATTTTATGTTTTGTGTAAACCTGTATGTATATGTGTGTGCCATGTATTCCCTGGAGGTAACAGTGATCAGAAGAGAGTGTCAGATCCCCTAGAACTGGAGTTATAGGTGGTTGTGAATTGCCATGTGGGTTCTGGGAACTCGACCTGGACCTTCTGCAACAGTTTTTGGTGCTTTTAACCCACTGAGCTATATTTCTAGCCCATTTTTTTGTTTTTGTTTTTGTTTTTCTCTATTTTGTAATATTTAACTAACAATACCTATGTTGTTAAGGCATTTTGCTTGTTTTTTAGTGTTTTGGTTTTGATTTTTTGTTGTTGTTCTTTTTGTTGTTGGTGGTGGTTTTTCAAGACAGGATTTCTCTATGCAGCCCTGGCTTTTCTGGAATTTGATCTGTAGACCAGGCTGGCCTTGAACTAACAAAGATCAGCCTGCCTCTACTTCTGAGTGCTGGAATTAAAGGTGTGTGCCACCACCATCTGGCCCTTGCTTGAATTTATTTTTTGAGTTTATCATGGTAATAACTTATCAAGTGAGTTTTATTACCCATTCCTATTTTCTTTAAACAGATAACAAAAATATGGTTCTTTAAGGTTGACTATCTTGTTTAAGATCGTATAGCTAATGTGAGCACTTACCAAGCTCTATATTAAGTTCTGTAGTTTAAGAATTTTTCTCTTCCTGAAATTGCTCATACGATTTAATAATAGCAAAAGACTTTTGAGTCCTCAGAGGATTTCATTCTGTCAAATGAGGCAAAACCAACATTGTATCTTAAATTTGTTTTAATCATCTCCCTCAAGTAGGTAGATAGTGCCTTACTGTTCTGTTTCAAGAAATGTTTTCTTAGTATACTGGTCTTTTAATTTTTATCCTACTTTTCAGTTTAAAAAAAAAATCTTATCATTCTTCTTTTATTTAGATTTTCAGACTCTACTTCAAAGACACCTCCCCAAGAATTTACTACTCGGGTCTCATCTCCTGTATTTGGAGCTACCTCTACTGTGAAAACTCATTTGGGTTTGAATACAAGTTTTTCCCCTTCTCTTTTAGACATTGGGAAAAGAAACCTTCTGAAGACGGCTCCCTTTAGTAACATTTCTGCTTCTAAATCAGAGAAAGCTAGATCAAAATCTGAGGACAGTGCTCTTCTCACACATCATAGTCTGGGGTCTGAAGTGAACAAGGTCATTAGCCAATCATTTCCTAATAAGCAGATACTTATGAATAAAAATGTAAGTGAATCTGTAGATGAGCAGAGCAGTACAGATCCTATTAAAGACGTTATTACTGATAAATATTTGGTGCCTTTAAAATCACTGGGAGGCAAAGCATCCAAAAGGAAGAAGACTGAGGAAGAGAGTCAACATGTAGTCAACTGCCCCCAGACCTGTTTTGATAAGGAAAATACTCTTCCTTTTCCAATGGAGAATCAGTTCTTCATGAATGGAGACCATGTGATGGATAAACCCCTGGACCTGTCAGATCGGTTTGCAGCTACCCAACGTCAAGAGAAGAGCCATGGAAATGAGACTTGTAAAAACAAGTTTAACCAAGTGACTATTTATGAGGCTTTGAAGCCCATTCCAAAGGGCTCTTCCTCAGGTCGTAAAGCCTTGAGTGGGACGTGCATATTAGCCAAAGAGTCTGCAGAGGCGTCCTGTTTACAGCAGCGGTGTATCCTCCAGACCTCTAGTAAAGGCTCTCCGGACCATAAAACACCCCTGCAGATAAAAGAGGAAAACCCTGTCTTCAAAACCCCTCTGTGTTCACAAGAAAGTTCGGAGACAGAGAATCTTTTTAGTGATGTGAAGGTTTGTGTTCCATGTTCAGTCATTTTGATTAAAATTGTTTGTGATTTCATTTAGGTGCTAATAATCATTTTTGTTTAGGGTACTAGTTCTCTTGTGCCAACAAAAGTAAAAAGCAGATCAGTCCGTGGAGGATGTGAGCTTGCATCAGTTCTTCAGTTGAATCCCTGCAGAAGCGCTAAGACAAAGTCTCTGCCAAACAACCAAGGTATGTGCATTATAAACAGACTCATTCCTCTTTTTAACTGCGTGACATTTACATTCTTTAGACATAAATTTGGGGGAGAAGATACCTTATTTTTTCCTGCATATAGCATCATTCTCACTGCTTTTATTTTGCCTTTGATTTTCCTATACTTTTTAAAATTTTATTTTAAATACTTTATAAGTATTTTTAGATGGTTTTGTGGATCTATTTCTTACTTCCTTTGCAAAAGCTTTTAAAAAGTGTTTTAACTATTCCATGTTTTTTTTTTATTTGTTTGTTTGCTTGTTTGGTTTGTTAGTTGGTTTTGGTTTTTAGTGTTTTAGAGGAACACAATACTAGGGATTGAACACAGGGCCTTAAACAAGTTAGATAAGCAACCTACCACTAAGCTCCATCCATAGACCTAAACTGTCCAGAATATTTAAAAATAATTTATCACTGGGCTGTGGTGGTACCCACACTCAGAAGGCAGAGGCAGGTGGATCTCTGTGAGTTCCAGGATAGCCAGAGCTGTTGCACAGAGAAATCCTGTCTTAAAAAACAGCAGCAGCAACAGCAGTAGCAGCAGTAATAGTAGTAGTAATATTAATGGTATGAATAAATAATTAATCATTCAAAACTTGTTCTTCACCCCTTGGATACTTAGCTGCTGTCTTTTTTCTTTGCATTGAAATGTTTGTCTGTAAGCTTTTACATATGCAAATTTATTTTAGCTTCTTGTTTAAATCTTGTACTTGCTTATGTATGTATATACATGCATGTGCACATCTGTATAGGAACACATGTAGGTGGATGTATGCCTGGTTTATTGCTACTTAGATACTGTCCACCTTATTTTTAGGTGGCCTCTCATTGGCCTGGAGCAGTGCCCGGTCCTGCCAGCAAGCCCCAGGATTTATCAGTCCTCTGTCTTCACCATACCTACCTTTTTATATAAATAATTGACTTATTTCCATTTTCCCCTGAAGCACATGATTTAGTTGTTCTTACACAGGTTTCAATCCCTAAGTGAAAAAAAAGTTTGGTTTTAGTTTTTTGTTTGTTTTTTCTATCATTCCTGATTTTTAGCTTTTTGTGTTTATTTTTCGTTTCATTATTCCTCTAGGAACCACACTATACCTATTAACTTTCCACAGTCATTTGCAGTTAGTATCATTTTGCTTCATGTTTTTTTTTGGGGGGGGGTGTCGAGACAGGATTTCTCTGTGTAGCCCTGGCTGTCCTGGAACTCATTTTGTAGACCAGGCTGACCTCGAACTCACTGATCCACCTGCCTCTGCCTCCATAGTGCTGGGATTAAAGATACACACCACCACCCAACTGTTGTTTTATGTTTTAAACTACAGTTTGTAGTTGTCATGTGTTATATCTACATATAATACACTCAAAATTGAAACAATTTTACAATTCTACCTTTTAAACAATTACTTTAGTGAAATACAAATCACTTATGAAAATGTCTATTGTGTCCAGTCCAGTGGTTTTGGTATACTTAAGAGTTGTACGGCTGTCTGGTTATCATCTCCCAAGCCTTTCCTATCGCTGTAGATTGAAATATTGTAGATGTTTTATGTGAATAGAGACCTATTTAGTATGAAATCTTGTAACTTCTTTCACTTGGCATAATGTTTTCTTTTGACTTTATTTTACTATTATTGTTGCATGTGTGATGTTTTCCTCAATATGAATGTGAACATGTCACAACATGTGTAGGTCAGAGGACAACTTCGTGCAGTCGGTTCTGTCTTTGAACTTTGACATGGGTTACCTGCTGAGCCGTCTCCCTACACTGACATAGCGTTTCAGTTCCCAGCCTTTTGTGTATGTGTCAGTATTCCATCACTGTCTATTGCTGAATCAAATTCCATTATATACAATCTTGTTTTCATCAGTTAATACAAATTTGCTGTCAGTGTTACCTTTATGAATAATACTGCTATGAACATTAGTGTACAGAAATTTCTGGAAATGGGTGTTTCCTTTTCTCAATTTACCTGGGACTAAAATTGCCTGACCTCATATCAGCTATTAGCCTTTTAAGGGACTGTTTCCCAAAGCAGCTATGCCATTTCACATTAACACTATGATTGTGTAACAGTTTCAGGTTTTTCAAAAACATATATACACATGCACACAGATTGAGTCTAGCCATCTTAGTCTGTGAATGATCTCATTTTTATCTTTCATTTTTCTGATTGTTCGTTATATTGATAACTTTTTCATAATGTTTATTGGCCATTTGAACTGTCTTGTGAGATTCTTTGGCCTCTTTGAATTGGTTTTTTTTTAAGATTTAAATTTTTTTAAAGATTTATTTCTTAATTATGTATACAGTGTTTGGCTTGCTTGTATGCTGCAGGCCAGAAGAGGGCACCAGATCTCATTACAGATGGTTGTGAGTCACCATGTGGCTGCTGGGAATTGAACTCATGACCTCTGGAAGAGCAGTCAGTGCTCTTAACCTCTGAGCCATCTCTCCAGCCCCCTAAGATTTTAAAATTTTTATATATATGAATGTTTTGCATGTATGTATAATTTGTACCGTGTATGTGCCTCATGCCTGCAGAGGTCAGAAGGGGTATCGGGTCCCTGGAACTGAAGTCATAGACAGTTATGATCCACCATGTAGATGCCAAGAACCAAACCCAAGTCCTCTGCTAGAGCAGTTAGTGCTTTCACCTACTGAAGTATTTATTTCTTCAGCTCCCTGGGACATTGATTTCTGAGTAAATGCTGCATGAAATCTTAATATTTCTGTTCTGTGCATTCCTAACATTTTAAAGTGAAATAAATTTTCAGATTGGGTTTTTAGTTTGTGCTTGTCCTCTTTTTCTAAGATGTGTCCTTTGAAAATATCCAGTGGAGCGTCGATCCCGGAGCAGACCTTTCTCAGTATAAAATGGATGTTACTGTAATAGATACAAAGGTATGTTAGAAAATGAACTAAAGCCCATTTGTGTCTTACTCCAGTGAGTTAGCAGCCTCCTCCCCTTGGAGTACTGTTTTACATGTTTCCTTTATTATGTTTGTGTGCATATGTACAGTACTGCACACCATGTGAATTTTACATCATATATGCAGCGATCAGAGCACAACCCTCAGAATTTGGTCCTCTTCATCTATCATGTGAGTCCTGGGGATCAAACCCAGGTTATCAGACTTGTATGTTTACCCCCTGAGTCATCTTGTAAACACAAGACAGTATTTATTAAATAGCAAAGAATTATAGTTATGTATTTCAAGTGATTTTACCTTTATCATATGTTCTTAGTTTTTTAGATAAGATCTCATCATACAACCCAGGATAGTTTCAAACTTACTCTCCTCTTGCCTCAGTCCTATACATGCTGGGATCGTAGATGTGTATCACCATGCTAATAATTCCATCATGTGTCTTGATTAGCTTTAATGTTTTTGTTTTTATTTTTATATTTATTTATTATGCACATGAGTTTTGCCTATATGTGTGTTTGTGTGCCACATCTGCCTGAAATTACCTGCAGAGGTCAGAAGATGGCATCAGATCCCCTGGAATTGGAGTTACAATTGGTTGTGAGTCACCATATGAGTGCTAGGAACTGAACCTGGGTCCTCTGCAAAAGCAGCGAGTACTTGTAACCACCAGGCCATCATCTCTCTGGCCACCTTAATTAGCTTTAAAAGGAAGGAAGGAGGGAGGGAGGGAAAAAGGAAGGAAGAAAGGAAAAAAATGCTGGCAAGACATTTTTTTCCCCAGTTTACTTTTTTTTTAAGTAACATTTTTGTGTTTATATATGCATGAATGTTCGAGAGAGGATCTCACTGTGTGGCTCTAACTGTCCTGGAACTTGCTCTGTAGACTAGGCTGACCTTGAACACTCAGATCCACCTCTGCCTCCTGAGTGCTAGGATTAAAGGCATGTGTCGCTATGCCCAGCTATGGTGTTTTGTTTTATTTTGTTTAATTTGTACTGGAAATATGATTTTGCTTTGTGTTCAAGTTCCATATAGTTAGTGAAATTCTCCTACTTGGTGGCACATTAAGAAATTAAGTAATTTATTAAAGTAACATGTAGCTATGAAGAGATCAAATTTGACTATTAAAGTTGCTTTTCATGTTCACTGAAGTTTATTACTGCAAGGCAGATTGGAGATGGTAAGCAAAGCACAAAGGATCAGTGGTAAATAAATCTGTCTTCCACGGTCAGTTTTCCTTTTCCTCAGATTGGCATTAAGAGCTTATATATTGAGGCTAAAGTGTTCTAGAAGCAAGAAAATCTATATCTGTTCCTGAGATACAAAAGTAAATAACTTAATGCTTTAAAATTGTAAAGTTTGTTGAGAGTTTTTAACCCTTTTTTTGTGGTCAGAAGAGCAGATGTAAGACTATGAAGGAATAACTGCTAACCTTTTGTGTTTTTAATATATTTCTTTAGGACAGCAGTCATTCACGATCAGGAGAAACAGTAGACATGGACTGTACATTGGTCAGTGAAACCGTGCTTTTAAAAATGAAGAAACAAGAGCCAAAAGAAAAAAGTCCAAGTAAGACTTATTTTGATTCCATTTACTTTAATCAAATGTGAAATGAAATGTATAGTTGTATGATGGTGATAAGTGCAGTAAGTTTGTGAACTGGATTTTGGGACTTTTTCTTATTGTAAAAAATTTTCATACAATATATTCTAGTCACATTTTCCTCCCCCCAACTCATTTCAGGTCTTCTCTACCCACTCAACTCCACACCTTCTTTCTCTAGAAAAATCAAAAGAAAAAACCACTAAAACATAAAATATACAAGCAAAAGACCAATAAGACAAAAATTTCCCAAAGTTGTGTGAGACAAAAAGTCTTACAAAACTACCATTGAGTTCATTTTATGTTGGCTGACTATAGCCAGGCATGGGCCTGCCCCAAAATGTAGTTAATATAACCAGTGAGATTCCATTAGAGAAAACTGTTTTTCCTCTGCAAGTGGTTATCAGTTGCAAATAGCTCCTTGGTTAAGTGTAGGAGCCTTGGTCCACTTCCTCCTCTCAGTGATGGGACCCCATCTGACTGGAACCTGTGCACGCAGGTCCTATGCATACTGCCAGTCTCTGGGTTCATATGTGCATTGGCTTCCTTGGAGTCATCCATCACCTCTGGCCCTTATAGTCTTTTCACCTCCTCTTCCACATAGACCCCTGATCTCTGAGGGACATTTGATGAAGACATCTTATTTAGGACTGAGTGCTCTGAAGTCTCTCACTCTTCTGCACATTGTCCATTGTGGGACTCTGTATTAGTTCCCATTTAGTGCATGAAACTTCTGTGATAATAGCTGGGCAAGGCACTGGCATGGGTATAGCAGAATGTAGTTAACAATCATTTTATTGCTGTGTTCCTTTAGTAAAACAATAGTATGTGGTTTTCGTCTAGGCCCAAGGCCAGTTCAGCTTCTTGGCCACCCTAGCAGTGTCACACATGGGTTCCATCTCATGGAATGGGCCTTCCACCCAGTCAGAGTATAGATGGTTCCTCCCACGTCACCATTGTAGGTCACAGGGTTTGTAGCTGGTTTGATTATTACCTTTCTCCTCTTGTAGCATGCAAACTACCTTCTACTACCATGAATACTACTTAGTAGGTGTTGGTGGCAGCACTCATTCATTTCCCGCCACCCTGACCCAAAATAATCACACAGAAACTGTATTATTTGCAATACTGTTTGGCCAATGGCTTAAGTGTCTTTCTAGCTAGCTCTTATATCTTAAATTAACCTATTTCCATTAATCTGTGTATCACCACATGGCTGTGGCTTACTGGGCAAAGTTACAGCAGGCTCTGGTGGAGGCATCTGTCTCCTGTGGCGGCTACATGGCTTTTCCCTCATTTGTTTCCCAGTCCGCTCTGAGCTCCCAGCATTCAGTTTGCTTTTCCCACCTAGCTCTATTCTATTAAGCCATTGGCCAAAAGCAGCTTCTTTATTAACCAATGGCAATAAAACATATTCACAGCATGCAGAGGAGAATCCCACATCATCTCTCCTTTTCTGTTAAATAAAAAGGAAGGTTTTAACTTTAACATAGGAAATTTAGATACAACAAAACAGATATCAAGCAAGAATTATAGTTAAAAATTTTATATCTACTTAATCTTTTTTCATAACAAAGAAAAACTATAACTGTAACTATCTATTCTTCAACTCCATCAAAGACTCCAGAAGGGTATGCTATTACCTAAGTTAACAGGAAGTCCATTGTAAGCAACTTCCAAAACTCTCGAATTGACAGAGACATCTTGCCACCTGGACAGTCATCCAAAGGTCTTCTGTAACATTGGGGTACCCATCTTTAGCATACAGGCCCATAGTATCTGGCAGACTTTCCCATGAAGTGGGAAATTTCAAAGATAGTTCCATGTATGTGTCCTGCAGAATATCTGGCAGACTCTTTCATGAAGCAGAAACCCCAAAAGACTTTCTCACCTTCTGGCAAGTTCAACAGTCATTTTTCTGTGGATCCTGCATGTCCAGTTCATACAGCATGACACCAAGCAGTCTGGGCAAGAGCAGTTTCTTGCCCAAATGACTAGCAAACTCCATAATCCATCATCTCTTGATGTAGATTGGTACTGCCAGGAACATGTGTCTCATTGTCATGAAAAGTCCTAAGTTCTTAAAACATTTAAATACCATATTCTGTTTGTCTTTGAAAGATTTGAAGAATGTGTATCTAACTGATAGATATATTATATCTCTATATGTCTAGAAATCTAACTAACATTACTGCAAGCTTGACTATTATATGTGATTATCTGTTAACCTATATTTCTTAATTATATGTTACATTTTTAAATGAGCTGCACAAACACAATACCTTAATCAAGAGCAGAAATACATATACACAGTATAACAAAATTGACCTTAAGTTTGTATCAATAGACTAGGAACTATACCAAGCAAAGTATTCATATCTATAGCATATTCCACTTTAAATATAACAAACACTTATAAACAATCATTTAGGGAATTTGTGAAGATGAATTCAGCACTGTGATGTACTAGATGGGGTGTGAGTTCATTGTTGCCGTCATTTTAAATTACCAAGTGCTAATAGTGATTTTTAAAAAAGAATAACTTTTTGCTGTTTTGTTAGAAAAATAAAAAATCAAATAAAATTTTATACAGTTTAATGTCTGCTGTTTATACATTTCTTTATATTTAGCATTTTTCATTATATATTATGGTATATTTTCTAGTTCTCAAAGTTTCCTTGATAAGAATTCTTTTGGTTTTTGTAAGTTATATGTGAGTTGATAGAAGGGGAAAGTCTTCAACATGTGTAAGAGATCCAGTTTTGTGACAGTAACGAAAGAGAACTTTATCATCATAGGATAACACTTGAAGTCACTGCAAAAGGTTTTTATAAATAGACTTAGTTTATTACCACTTGTGCCCCTTGTAAGAATTAAGTTACATGGAAAGAATCTCAACTTAAAGATCTCTAAATTCTTAATTACATATATTGTAGTATGTTACTCACTTTGAATCACAAAGTTCTGCTCTTAACATTAGAGTTTGCAACTAATATTCTATCATCTTTTTAACATGTCCATAGATGCCTCCACCTCACTCTGTATTCAGCAAAACACTCTTTACAACTGATTCTGAAGTCTAGATTATAGCTGTGTATTTTTTTAAGTATCTTTAAACTTCCCATTACATGTATTAAGGTTTGTTACCCACCTAACGTTCTCTCTTAACAAGGTGTCATAAGCTAACAGTCTTAGAGTCACATTTTACACATGTGTCTATAAACAGTTCACTGTACTCATCTATTTAAAAGAGCACTCTTGAAGATGAACCCTGTAGTCCATATATAAGAATCGTCTTAGTTCAGAATAGACCATATTACATTACTTTATCTTTGTTACTATTCACATTGGGCTTCACAGAAGGCCAAAGCTGCTAAGTCAATACTTTTTTTATAGATGGAGACCTAAAAATGAACGATAGCTTGGAAGAAATGTTTGATCAGACAGCACATGAAGAATATGAATCCTGTTTGACAGATAACTTTCCCCAGGTACCAGATGAGGAAGAATTGTCTGCTGCCACAAAAAAAACAAACAGTAAATATGCTTTCTCTTTAATTATATCTTTACCATTATACTGAATTCACTTAAGTCATCAAGCTAATTAATAGACGATTGATTAGAAATACTAACAAAAGTTTCATGTTTCTTACGTAAATTTCTTTTTCAGATATTTTTTAAAATTTTATGCGTATGGGTGTTTTGTGTGTATATGTTTGTGTACCACATATGCATTTTGTTCCCTCTGATGTCAGGTTATAGTAGTGGATCTCTTGGAACTAGAATTACAGAAGGTTGTGGAGCACCAAGTTGGTATTGGGACTCAAAACTGGGTCCTCTGGAAGAATAGCCAGTGTTCTTAATGACTTGAGCTGTCTCTCCCAATTACTTTTTTACTTGAAATAATTTCAAACTAAGGAAATATTCCAAAAAAGAAGTTGAGAATGTTTAACTATACCTTCTGCTAAGTACCTTTTTTAAAAAATTGTTTTTAATTGAGCTTTACATTTTACCCCACTCCCTTTCCTTTCTCCCGTCTCCCCTTCCACCCTCCCTCCTCCCACGCTGCCAATTTACTCAGAAGATCTTGTCTTTTTCTCCTTCCTAGGTAGATCCATGTATGTCTCTCTTAAGGTCTTCTTTGTTGTCTAGGATCTCTGGGGTTGTGGACTGGCTTATTCTTTGCTTTATGTCTAAAAGCTACATGAGTGAGTACATAGTATATTTGTCTTTCTGGGTCTGGGTTGCCTCACTCAGTATGGTTTTTTGTAGTTCCATCTGCAAATTTCAAGATGTCATTCTTTTTTACCTCTGAGTAGTACTCCATTGTTTAAGTGCACCACATTTTCCTTATTCAGTCTTCAGTTGAGGGGCATCTAGGTTGTTTCTAGTTCTGGTTATTATGAGTAATGCTGCTGTGAACATTGAGCACATGTGCTTGTGGTATGATTGAGAATCGTTGGGTATATGCCCAAGAGCGGTATTGCTGGGTCTTGAGGTAGATTAATCTCCTAATTTTCTGAGAAACCACCATGCTGATTTCCAAAGTCCCTGTACAAGTTTGCACTCCCACCAGCAATGGAGGAGTTTTTCCCTTATTCCACATCCTCTCCAGCATAAGCTGTCATCAGTGTTTTTGATCTTGGCCATTCTTACAGGTGTAAAATGGTATCTCCAGAAGTTCCTTTATTGTACAGGATTGTTTTGACTATCCTGTTTTGTTGTTGTTTTTCCATATGATGTTGAGTATTCTTTTGGGATCTGTGAAGAATTTTTCTATATATCTATATATCTGTGAAGAATATTTTTGATGGGCATTAGCATTAAATCTGTTTTTTTTTTAAGATAGCCATTTTTGCTATGTTAATCCTACCTAGTCAAGAGCATGGGAGGTCTTTCCATTTTTTGGTGTCTTTTTCGGTTTCTTTTTTCAAGGATTTAACGTTCTTGTTATACAGATATTTCACTTGTTTGTTTGGTTAAAGTTACCCCGCGATATTTTATGTTATTTGTGGCTATTGTAAAGGGTGATGTTTCTCTGATTTCTTTTTCAGCCCGTTTATCATCTGTATATAGGAGGGCTACTCTTTGTTTGTTTTTGAGTTAATCTTGTATCTTGCTACATTACTGAAGAGGTTTACAGTTGTAGGAGTTCCATGGTGGAATTTTTGGAGTCACTTACGTATACTATCATATCATGAGCAAGTAATGAAAGTGACTCTTCCTTTCCAATTTGTATTCTCTTGATCTCCTTTTGTTGTCTTACTGCTCTAGCTAGAACTTAAAGTATTATATTGAATAGATATGGAGAGAGTAGACAGCCTTGTCTTGTTCTAGATTTCAGTAGGATTGCTTTGAGTGTCTCTCCATTTAGTTTGATGCTGGCTGTTGGTTTGCTGTATATTGCCTTTATTATGTTTAGATACGTTCCTTGTATCCCTGCTCTTTCCAAGACCTTTAGCATGAATTTTGTTGAAGACTTTTTCAGATGAACATGTTGTTGTTGTTTTTTTCTTTCAGTTTGTTTATATGGTGGATTTCATTGACAGATTTTCGTATGTTGAACCATCCCTGCATCTCTGGGATGAAGCCTACTTGGTTATGGTGGATGATATTTCTGATGTGTTCCTGGATTTGGTTTGCAAGTATTTTATTTAAAATTTTTGCATCAATGTTCATGAGGGAGATTGGTCTGTAATTCTCTTTCTTGGTTGTGTCTTTGTATGGTTTGGGTATCAGGGTGACTGTAACCTTGTAAAAAGTGGTAGTGTTCCTTCTGTTTCTATTGTGTGGAACAATTTGAAGAATATAGGTATTAGCTTTTCTTTGAAGTTCTTTCTGGTAGAAGTCTGAGCTGAAACCATCTGGCCCCGGGCTTTTTTGGTTGGGAGACTTTTGATGACTGCTTCTATTTCCTTAGGTCTATTTAAATTGTTTTTCTGGTCCTGATTTAGTTTTGATATGTGTAACCTATCCAGAAAATTGTCCATTTCTTTTAGATTTTCCAATTTTGTGGAATACAGGTTTTCGAAGTATAACCTAATGATTCTTTGGATTTCTTCAGTGTCTGTTGTTATGTCCCCCCCCCCTTTTCATTTCTGATTTTGGATGTTCTCTCTCTGCCTTTTGCTTAGTTTGGATAGGGTTTGTCTATCTTGTTGATTTTTCTGGAAGAGCCAACTCTTTGTTTCATTGATTCTTTGTATTATTTTCTTTGTTTCTATTTTATTGATTTCAGCCCTCAATTTGATTATTTCCTGCCATCTAGTCCTCCTGGATGATTTTTCTTCTTTTTGTTCTAGAGCTTTCAGATGTGCTGATAAGTTACTAGTGTGAGTCTTTTTCAGCTCCTTTATGTAGGCACTTAGTGCTATGAACTTTCCTCTTAGCACTACTTTCATAGTGTACAATAGATTTGGGTATGTTGTGCATTCATTTTCATTGAATTCTAGGAAGTCTTTAATTTCTTTATTTCTTCCTTGACCCAGGGGTGATTCAGTTAAGCATTGTTCAGTTTCCATGAGTTTGTCAACTTTCTGTAGTTAGTATTGTTGTTGAATTCTGACTTTAAGCCATGATGGTCCAATATGACACAGGGATTTATTCCAATTTATTTTGTACCTATTGAGATACACTTTGTTACCGAGTATATGGTCAGTTTTGGAGAAGGATCTATAATGTGCTAAGAAGAAGGTATATTCTTTTGTGTTTGGGTGAAATGTTCTGTAGATGTCTGTTAAACCCGTTTGAGTCATAACATCTATTAGATTATTTATTTCTCTGTTAAGTTTCTGTCTGGCAGACCTGTCCAGTGGTGCAAGTGGGGTGTTGAAGTCTCCCACTATTAGTATGTGGATCTTGATGTGTGATTTAAGCTTTAATAATGTTCCTCTTCCAATGTGGGTGCCCTTGTATTTGAGACTTCAGAATTGAGACTTCATCTCAATGGATTTTTCCTGTGATCTCTTTTGACTAATTTTAGTTTGAAGTCTATTTTGTTATTTTTAAGGTCATTTTCTTCTGATTCATCTGTGTTGGGATGTTCAGTTCTTGCTGAATGAAGTTCTTGCTGTGTTTGATGGTTCAGTTGTAGAACCACTAGTTTCTGGTGGTGCTGTATTGTTCTTTATGTTGTTGACTGTATTCTTACCCTTTTGTCTACCCATCTCTTCCTCCACAAGCTGGGGACTGTGGCTCCGTTGAACACTCCTTCATGTGTAGGCAGAGGAGAGCCTTAGGTGATCATTCCTCCAAGTGCTTACGGACCCAAGGCTTATATGGCCGTTCCTCCTGGTGTTGGTGGGGCTGAGACTGAGGCTCCAGTGGTCAGATAATTTCTGGAGGCCACTGCTGGTTAGTCTCGGTTCAGTAGTATAAAGTTTTTTGCATACTTACATTCATAAACATATGTGTGTATGTGGGTGTGTGTATATATATTGGTTTTTCGAGACAGGGTTTCTCTGTAGCTTTGGAGCTTGTCCTGGAACTCGCCTTGTAGACCAGGCTGGCCTCGACCTTACAGAGATCCACCTGTCTGACTCCCAAGTGCTGAAATTGAAGGCCTGTGCTGCCACTGCCCAGTATATATTTTTATATTTTATACATATTTATAAATATATAAAAAGTTTACATATATTAAAATGTGAGAAATTTTAATTTTATAATTGTTAATTTTATAAATAATTGTAATGCAGTGGGAAAAAGATTCACAGAGAATTTAGACCTATTTTCTTCTGTGAGCACTGTCTACTCAGAGAAAATACTTAATATTCTTTGTGTTCTTTAGGTAGTGTGATAGTAAAGAGTACTCCATCTTCTTGAAATTCTTAAGAAGATAATTGCAATTTCAAGTTAAAATTATTGCTAAGTTTACATTTAAACACTGGCCATCTCAAAATTTCTTCTCATTTACTCTTTGGACTATTTGGTGTCTAGAGCTTCCATTTCCCAGAGTTTTCCTAAGATTTTCCCCCTCACATAGCATTTTTGCCTACAGCTTTTTAGTCATTACTTAAAACTAGTCCCAAACTGTATTTCTAGGTTTGACTTCTAATGAATCCCAGTCCTGCATTTGTGAATAGTTGTTATATACATTTGTGTTTCAGCAATTTAAAACAGTCATGTCTAACCCAAGTTCCATGTCTTTCCTACTGAGTAATTTCTTATTTTCTCAACCACAGGCATAACTTTTAGAGTTTGGTTTTTCATTTTCACAACTCCCATACTAACTGATTTTCTTCATAGGCAAACTAAGTTTGGGGAACAATATCAAAAGCTCATTCTGACAGATTTATATGTGCTAGACATTCAAATGGGTCTGTTAGTAGGCAGTTAGTGTGTGTAGACTTTAAGCAAGAAATTCAGAGTACTAAGATAATTTGAGGACAGGAAATTAACAGAAAGTAGGTTCTCCATAAAGTGTGACACTGAGTAAGATTACCAAGGTGTTGAAAATAAGTAAAGCAGAAAAGCATTTCGGGTTTCTGACCTCTAGTATATAACAGTTACAGCTTTGGCTGTGGTCCTGCTCTCTAAGTTGCTATGTCCCGTAGGCTGAGTCATCCCTCCAGCATATAGCAACTTAGAGAGCAGAGGTGACCGAGTTAGATGGCTTAGTGAGTCATTGGCGCCTATTTGCCATACCTGACTACTGAGTTGAATCCTTGGGATCTACATGTTAGAAGAGAGAACCAAGTCCCAGGACTTGTTCTATAACCTCCACAGAAATTATGGCACCACAAACATTTATGTACATTAAATGAATAAGTACAATTAAAAAAAAATCCAGGATGGGGAGAAGGAGACCAAGCGCAGATGAACAGAAGTAGCAAAGGAGAGTGAAGTGGTACTCTGGACACAAGGAGGAGGGGAAGGAGCTTCTGCTGCTCTGGAAAGGGAGTGTTTTGTGTACTCACGGTACTCCTTTCCCTAGAGCCCTCTGTGGCATCTTTATAAGTACTGAGACCCAGGTGCAGTCAACTCAGAAAGTTTTCTTTTTCTTTTGTTTTATTCTTGGTTTCTTATGACAGAGTTCCTCTGTGTAGCCCTTGCTGTCCTGGAACTTGCTCTGTAGACCAGTGTAGCTTCAAACTCAGACATCCGCCTGCCTCCGTCTCCCAAGTGCTAGGATTAAAGGTGCACATACCAACTGCCCAGTAAAAAATTTTTCTGCCCCAGTTTTTGTGTTCCCCTGCCACTCCAGATTTCATTATTTTATTATAATTGTAATAACTTATAATTATTATTTCAGTATCCATCTACCCAGTAGCTAAACGAAATGTGAGAAACCAGTTTTTACATAGTTCATTTTTTTAAAGATTTATTTATTATGTTTACAGTGTTCTGCATGCCAGAAGAAGGCACCAGATATCATTATAGATGGTTGTGAGCCACTATTTAGTTGCTGGGAATTGAACTCAGGACCTTTAGAAGAGCAGTCAGTGCTCTTAACCTCTGAGACATCTCTCCAATCCCACATACTTTATTTTTTATTACAATTAAAATTAAACATCACAATTTGTAAACATTATTGTTTTGTGACAGACCCAGGTCATGCCAACAAAACTCAATGAGAGTCAACTTCTAACAATGTCAGAATAAATCACAGAAGAATAAAAATTAAAATCTTAATGAAAAGTAGATAGGAATTATTTGCTGTAGTGATAATGACTTGCCTACCATGTGGATGCTGTCTGTAGAGGCTCCCTTATCTAGAACAACACACAAAGCTGGTTCTAGGATGAGATTTAACCTAGGAACCAGAGGTTGGAGTGGGAAGTGGGGGGGTCATATTTGGCTTTATTTTTCACCTCACTTTTGTGCCTAGTCTGAAGCCTGGAGGTACTGTCCAAAGCATACTTTACATTACTCTCTTTCTCTCTGTCCCTGATCTAAAGCGTTGCTATTTTACCTATTGTGCGCAAGCCTCCTGTATTTTCTACAGAACACCAGGATGGACCAAATTAGATTGATTATACTATGTTTTCAACTGGACGTTCTTGAATGAAAAGATAATTGAATAATCAGTAAGCACATGAAACAAGTATCTAGTGTTCTTGGGCATCAAGTGTTGAATTCACATTTCCTGGGGTGATTAAAAACACTGACAACCAAATATTAGAAAGGGTGAGGAGTGCCGGGAGTCATGTGTGTTGGTGACAGGAGTTAACACAAGTAAGGAAAATAAACCAGTTTCATAATTTCATCATCAGTTTTGTACAGAATTAAATATATATATACCTATCACACCATTTGACTCAGTTATGAATGTATGCCCTAAGAAAAGTAAACATGCAAAAGAGCTGTGCTTATTTTTTATAGGGTTAGGATTGTAGCACTGAAAAGTATATTCATGTTAGTGCCACCTGTAATAACTTAAAAAATGAAAACAGTCTACATTTCCATCAATAAGTAAATACATCAAAACAACATAGGTAAACCTCCAATTTGCTATGCTGGGAAAATAAAAATGATAAAGTAAATTGTAAATTTTTTTAGTATGTAGTTCTAAAACAAGCTATTTGGTGAAAAAACTCAAATTGGTGTTGGGAGAGGGAGTTAAAGAGAAATATGAGAACATCCCTGTACATGAGAAACAAAGTAATAACAGCAAAGTTGGAAGTGATGGATATTTTTCAATTTTGTCATCAGTTTTCTGATGTAATTCTTTATTCTCTATTTTTTGAATCATAACCTGTTTTAAAGATACATTATACAAATTAATAGGTCAAATAAGTGAGATATACTAAAAGATTATTTCTGTCTCCTGCCAAATAACATCAGGCATGTAGATAGTTCTGTTCTTAAATTTTCATGTGCCAGTTGTGGTGATGTACGCCTTTAATCCCAGCACTGGGAAGCAGACATAGGTGGATCTCTTGAGTTTGAGGCTGCATGATAAGGCCTGGACCCAAATTAATCAATCAGTTAAATACTTCCTGAAATGTAATTTTTAGTTTAGTGTCTCTGAGACAAGATAATCATCACCTTTAATGTAGATAAAAAAAATAAAATTTTAATGAATTGCCTCCCAGGACTCAAATGTGAAAATCAATATAAAGGGAAGTTTGGTGCATGCTATACTTGTTTTTTGTTTTATTTTTTTCCTAAGCAAGCTGATTATTTCTCGTCAAGTTCTACATCTTGTGACATTCTTGTTTTGTTTACAGTACATGGTGACAAACAAGATGGAGTCAAGCAGAAAGCATTTGTGGAGCCATATTTTAAAGATAAAGAGAGGTAAGTGGGTCTCAATATTACTCATGTGTTTGGAGGTACAATAGAGCTGACTTTGCCAGTCTGTAAGATATTTAATGATTGCTTTGATTAAAATAAAATAATTTACAAGGATACTGAGGCCATCCAAAGCTACATAGTTTAAAAAGAAGAAGAAGATAAAAAGAATCATTTAGAACCAGGCTCACGTCTCTAATACCAACACTGGGAGACAGGCAGAACAATTACACATTTGCAACCAGTATGGCCTACACAGACTTTCTCTCACAAAAAAAAAAAAAAAAAAAAAAAAAAAAAAAATCACTTATGGGCCAGGGAGCGTGGGAATATAGCCCAGTGGTGCAGTCTTGCCTGACAGGCACAATGACCTAAGATGATAAAAGCCAGGTACCGCGTGCACATCATTTATTCCAGCACTGGCCAGTAGAGACAGGTGGGTCCAGGGGCTGGTTGGCCAGCCTGTCTAACAGAGATCGCTAAGGTTCAGTTGGAGACCCTGTCTCAAAAAATGAGGGTGAGTGGGTAAGAGGGCCACTTGGATATGATCAAAATACATTGAATGAAATTCTCAGAGAAATAATAAAAAGTGTGGGGAGCAATTGAAGGCATCTGGTGTCCACCTTTGATTTCTACATGTGCCCTCATGGGCAACATGCATATACCCACACCTGCACACACAGTGCCATTTACTTTATACTTGTAAACAAAGAGACTGGAAAATAAGAATACAAATTGTACATAGAAGGAAATTTTTACCAGTATCACTCATTTTCAACAGTAGAAATAGTTTCTTTGCTTTATTGTAACAAATACCTTATTTTTAGTCTATTTCATTTTGAACTTTGGAAATTGTTGAACTATGTTCTCTTAACTTTCACATGTTTAAGACTTTAGGTCACAAGCTAAGGTTGCCATGCATCATTTTTGAGTATTTTTGAATCTTTGGAACAAAAATTTCAGCTTTTTAATTTTGAACTTCAGTGCTACTTTCTGCCTTTTTCACAAAGATTGCAAATTCTGTTACTTTCAGTTAATGGTCTAACTGGCTTTTTTTTTTTTAAAGTAAATTTAGGGGGGCTGGAGAGAAAGCTCGGCAGTTAAGAACACTGACTGCTCTTCAAGAGGACCCTGGTTCAATTTCTAGCACCTACATGACAGCTCACACCTGTCAAGTAACTCCAGCTCCAGGGGATCTGATGATATACATGTGGGCAAAACATCAATGCACATAAAATAAAAATAAATAAATTATTAAGTCAATTTAGGACTTAATACTTATTCTAAAAAACTATGCTTTTTTTTCTTTATGAAGTTCTCAAGATGAGTCACTTCATAAGTTATTCTTCTTAATTACATTTATTTATGTATTGTTAGGAGAGGGCATGAGCATGCCACAGCTGATGTACGGAAATGAGAGGACATCTTGGAGGAGGAGGAGCTCCCCTCCTGCCATACAGGTTGCAGAGATCAGACTCAGGTCAGGTTTGGTAGAAGGTACCCTCACCTGTTGGGCCTTCTCTTCAGCCCAAAATAAAGTCACTCTTCAGCTTTCATTTCTGTTGAGTACTTTAGTAGCCTCAAAGCCAAAATTTTTAATTAATTATTTTTTAAGAGCAGGATTTCATGGTGTAATTTAATTGTATAATACTGGCTGGCCTGATGTAGCGTTCGTGCTATTACATGTATTACGGTCCTGTAGTGCCTGTACTACATGTACTATGGTACTACGCCTGTATCCTACCACCTGCACTACTGGATAGGACTGGACGCTAGCTGGGAAAGGGCTGGAGATTTTAAACATATACACACACACACAGAGACATGGGGACACGGGTCATCCTTGAAACAAGAATGCCCCCTTTATTGTGTTCAGGGACAGCTTATATAGAGATCCTTGACTGATAGCCATGACCCAGCCAAACCCACCAGAAACCACTCTCCTGGCATCAGGAACTCCTCAGGGTCTCTTGCTTAGAGCAGCTGCAAACACAGGAAAGCAACTTGTTTTGCTCAGAGCAGCTGCAAGAATAACAAGTTGTTTACAGGAAATTAAGGGTGTGGGGGTCCACAGCCCCCAGCAGCCTGAAACTCACTTTGGTAGATTAAACTATTCTCACACTCACAGAGATCTGTCTGCCTTTGTCTTCTGAGTGTTGGGATTAAAGGCCCAACCACCACACCCGGCCTAAAATGAATTTTTATTGATTCCTATGAGTCTAAAAGCACTAACTTGACATTTTGCCATTAAATGTTTAATTATTTTCCTTTATGTGCCACTTCCCCAAAGAAATGGAACCCTAAAATTCCCAAAAAAATGTAAGCAGGCAGGTTTTTTTTTTCTCATAGGTTCATGAGTTTAAGCATCTGATGTGTTTACATTCATTGCATTTAACTTGTTTATAGTAACAGTTCTTGTCCACATACATTTACGACCTCCAGTCCTACCCGAACCATAGGCGGTGCTGACTCCTATATGCACAGCATTTTATCCTATGCCTCTGAACGTTTTCACCCCATTAAAAAGAAGCATTTTTCTCACATATCCAAATTGTCAGCATCACTGTGTTTGTGCTTGAGAGACATTATTAAATAAACAGGGGTGAGTTGAACACAAGCACCACAGTAGCGCTATGGCCAGTCTGATACCTGAAATGACTGCAGGTGGGTGGCATACACAGATCAGAAATACTGTTTAAAGGGGCTGTTCACATCAGGGGCAAGATGGAGCATGATGGTGCAGGATTCCATTGTATACATACAGAGAACTTCATACATGTAATGGCAGGAGGCGAAGCTGCAAATGAGGAACTACTACAGACAGACTGTCCCATTTTCACCTGTTAGAAGCCTCCTGGATCAAACAGTTGCCTAGACTCCTTTTATAGCTTCCATGATGAAGCCGCAAAATGTCTGGTAGAAGATGTTCTTAGCTGGGGCAGTTTAGAGCACTTGACCCCTCTTCCACAGGGTGAGTTTGGTTCCCAGCAACCATGTCAGGTGACTCACAATTGCCTGGAGCTTCAGCCCTATGGGAAGCGTACATGCTTGCACTATGTCATGTGTGTTTGGATACACTTAAGCAAGTGATGTTAATATAGCTTTTTTTTCTGTTTTATTAGTTTTCCTTTAATTGTATATCCTGAAAATTAGTCGAATTGTAATAATGACTGTCTTCTTTTTTTAGCTGTCATGTGACTGCCATGGCTTGTTCTCTAGCAGTAAACCCTCGTTTCATTCACTGCGAGGCTAGTGCACCTAATGATGCAGTGAATAAAGAGCTTTGTTCTGTGACTTCGAGACAGTCCTAGATTAATACGATGTTACAGAGCAATAGCTTGTAGTTTCAGTGTTTCCTAAGAGAGGCACTAATTTTTCAAGTAAGAGTAGTTTTATTTCTGAAGCTAAGGAAACAGGAAATGGATAAAGGTGGAAGGATGGTAAAGGTCTCAGTGATCTTGTGCTTCTCCTACTGAGAAGTCTAGAAAGCCCTGGTGTACTTGTCTCATTGCTATTATAAATACCTGACAAAAGAAACATGAGAAAGGGAGAGTTTCTTTTGGCTCACAGTTGTAAGATCTCTTCTGTCACGGTTGAGAGGTCACAGCAGCAGGACTTGAGGCAGCTTGTCTTACTGTATCCCCAGTTGGGAAGCAGAGAGCCATAAATGTAGGTGCTTAGCTGTCTTCCTCCAGTCCATGGAATGGTATCCCCCACAGCTAAGATGGGTCTTCATCTCAGCTAATCAGCATTCCTGCTCCTTCATAGGTGTGCCGAGAGACTGTCTCCTAAGTGACTCTAGATTCGGTCAAGTTGGCAGTACTATATATCAGGTCTGGTCAGGGACACAAAGCTTACCAGCTTTTTAAGTGATGCTTTCCTTGAGTCTGCCTTGGATGCCAGTCGTCTAGTGAGTACCTGCTACATGTACTATGCACAGAGGGCAGGATATGGCAAAAATGGATTCTACATATGCCTAGATTTTATAAATTCTTTGACAAAAATTTTTGTGTAGCAAAATTTTATCCACCCTTTCTTGCTTTCCCTTTTTTAATTCATGCATTACTGTAGAGTTGAGGGTTTTTAAAAGTTAGAATACAGAAGGGACCTCTTACTCAGTGTAGTTGGAAACAGAATAGTTAAAATTTGTTTTGAAGAAAAATTTGTTCCAGTTAAAGGAACATGAGATTCCAATCAAGAAGAGTAGGTGTGTCTCCAAGAAAAATCATTTTTAAAATCATCTTTTATGTTTTAGAGTATTTCAGTTCACTGAGAGTGTTTCTATTAGAAACAACATGTGTGTGTATGTATATATCTCAAATTATACATGTGTGTGTAATTTGATATTTATAGTTTTATATATATATGTCATTTGATAACTCTTCCAGCAGTTGTCTTCATAAAGATATAAATTTGTATGTATTTATGCAAGTCATTAAGCTCAGAAGGGAGCCATTAAGAGGAGAGTCTTAAGGGGTAGGGGAAAGAGAAAGGGTGGACCACCTGTGGCAGGATAGCGGGGGGGGGGGGGCACTTGGCAGAGAAGGGGCCAGTGAGCATAGGGAAAAGATGGCATGGACGAGAACAGTAGAAGAAGGAGACAAATAAAAAATCATACATGAAATGACACAGTGAAACATATTTTGTGTGCTGACTTAAGATTAGTCTAAAATACTTACCAATAGTAGGCCTTTAATAAACACTTGAAAAGAATCTTTTGTTTTCCCAATATACAGAACATTTCATATAGAATGAGTGTTTGGGGATTTTTCTCTTCTGAGTTCTTCTATTTTTTTTAATTCAGATTTTAAACCAGAAATCTTCTAGTAACAAATAGGTTAATTTTAAATTCCTTTTCCCTACAGAGAAAGTAGCATACAGAATTTTCCTCATATTGAGGTAGTTCGGAAAAAAGAAGAGAGAAGGAAATTGCTTGGGCACACATGTAAAGAGTGTGAAATTGTAAGTACTGATATAAACACTTCTTTTGAATTTGATTTTATAGGTCGTAAGTGCATGATTTTAAAATTATAGTTACAGGTTGTAATTATATTCAGAAACTTTCTTTGATCCAGTAATGATAAAAAGAATAAGGAACATACCAGCTAGGACCAGCATCTATTAATTAAATAGATATGAATAAATGAAAGTGAATGCCCCTAACTTGTCTTAGATTGAGTCTGAGGCCTAACTCTAATTCTCTTCTTAAATGCATTTATCTGTTTAATGTGGAGTGGGGCTTAGTGGGCAACAATAACCTGCTGAGCCAGCTTTCAGGTACCCTAACCCTATTATCTTATAACTATCTTAAGACATTATGTGCCATTCTTTTCTGTAGTTACTTGCAAATGCTGATATATCTGTACCATTAGGGAAAATTGATCTTCAATAGGAAATTTTAACATTCATTCTTTTCACTATCAGGAAATAAGGTGTACCCATAACTTTTTAAAGAATCAATACCACTATAGGCCCTATTTTTCTCTGAGATACTTTTTATCACAAAATGTGAAAAATAAGTTTTCCTTCATCTTTAAAATACTTACCCCCCCCCTTTTTTACACTGTCTGCCTTAGGCTGAAGAATCAGTACAAACCATCCTATTAATAAGTTATCCTAGACAGGTTCTTTTTTTATCTTACAACATGCTATTTTTATTTTTTGTCTTACTATAAGCAGTCAGATGCCGTCCTCAACATCTAACTTCCTCATTTAGATTTTTTTAGTAGCTATGCTCTAAAACAATTTGATACTCAAAGCACTTTAAAGTAACATGAAGACATGAATATTACAGTAAGCTCTTGGTGAAAATACGCTCTTAATCACAGCAGGAATATAAACTGTGATATTGTGATAATACATGGTGATGAAAAGCAGCTTGGGAGAGGGCTTGTTTGGCTTACCTTCTGTGTTACAGTCCCTCATGGAAAGAAGTCAGGGCAGGAACTCAAGGCAGTTCTCTAGAGACAGAGACCGTGGAGGGGTGCTGCTTACTGACTTGCTCCACGTGGCTGCTTTCCTATAGAGCCCAGGACTATCATGCCAGGGATGCCACCACCAAGGTGTGAGACCCTCACACATTGATCACTGATTGAGAAAATGCCTTACATCTGGATCTCATGGAGGCATTTCCTCAGCTGAGACTTGTTCCTCTCTGATGACTCTGGCTTGTTTCTGGTTGACACACAAACCAGCAGTGTAACTGACCCTATGTCAGTTTGACACACAAACACATCACTGTTAAGCCACAACCATAGCCAAGATGGTACATTAAACATGATAACATAATAAAATATAAATAACTTTAAAAGTCCCAGTCTTTTTGAAGACAGACACAATGTGCTGTGCCCTCACACATCAGTAATTAATCAAGAAAATGCTCCCCAGATTTGCCTACAGGTAGTCTGATGGAGACATTTCCACAGTTGAGGTTCCTCTTTCCAGGAGAACGCTTATCAACTACCTGTGTCAAGTTGATAAAATTAAAGCAGCACATCAGTACAAATAAAACCATTTGCTAGTTTTCATAGCACAGTTTCGATCTGCTTTCCTCCTCAGTAGTCAGTTCCTTCACTGCTAATCATCGGAAATGTTATGTACTCCTGCTATCTGTTTACTGTTAAAGAGTTCTTTAAATGGTAAGAATAAATAAAGGCACAACTCCTGTGTTCTTAAATGTAATTTGTAGCTTACTATTTGGAAGTCTATCCCAATGTCTATTTGAAATGTATGGTAAAAGTAGCAAGCACAAATCTCTCAAGTGTAAAAACAAATGTATTTTCTACATTATACTATATGTATCTATACTTCAGGATACATCTATATATAGTATACATCTATACTTCAGGACTCAGTCTCTTATATGTCTGAGGTTTGATTTTGTTTCCTAATTTTGTTTGGTTTTGAGGAGAAGATTCTAGTTACTATGCTTCTTTCATGTGTGAATAACTTATCTTTCATTAAGTCCCACAGAGTCTACCTTCATAAAATTCCCCTTGACCTTTACTTACTATCTCTACTACCAATACCTGCTACATACCCAGGCACTATCTTACCCTGGACTGTTGAAGTACTCTGCCTTTCTTAATACACTTCACCTTTTAGAGCATAAGCAAAAGACAGTCCTCATACCTGCTAACCTCTATAGTCTTCCTTTATGTCCTTACCTCTTATTAAACACGATGGTCTTTTGTAGTTGGAGATCATTCATTTGTTCCCGGCTGCCCAGACTTGAAATAATCACACAGAAATTATATTATTTGCAATACTATTTGGCCAATCTACTTAAGCGTATTGCTAGCTAGCTCTCATATCTTGAATTAACCCATTTCCATTAATCTGTGTATTACCACATGGCTGTGGCTTACTGGGTAAAATTTCATCCTGTGTTTGTCTCTGGAAGATATATAGCCAGCCTGGCTATATTCTGTTAAGCCATTGGGCCAAAAGCAGCTTCTTTATTAACCAATAAAAGCAACACATAGACAGAAGGACTTCCCACACCGGTCTTTTGTGTTTTTTCCTAATGATCTTTTAGAATAGAAGTTAAATCATGCCAGTACCTTTCAGTGTCCTCTCAGCTTACCACAGGCCCAGGGTTGGCAACTGTTAGCACAGACGTCTGTTGATAAAAGAAGGCTGTGTTGATTCACGCTGTGATATAAGCTCCTTTTCTCATTCATGAATCAAGCACTGTCTTATTATCATTATTATTACAATATCAGTATTATTTCCTTTGAATGTTTAATTAAACAAATAGCTTTTTAGCTTCTAGTTTGTAATCAGTAAACATAACACTGTTTATTATTCCCTGTCATTGTTAGTACTATGCAGATATGCCAGCAGAAGAAAGAGAAAAGAAGTTGGCTTCCTGCTCCCGACACCGGTTTCGCTACATTCCACCCAGCACACCAGAGAATTTCTGGGAAGTTGGTTTTCCTTCTACTCAGACATGTCTGGAAAGGGGTAGGGTTATAGATTTTAGTATTTTAGATTTTTTTTTAAAGTCTGATTGTTAACCCTTTTCTCTCTAACTCTATCTTGTACTGCACATTAGGTGCTGATTCTGCAACATACTAGTGAATTCCTGAGTTGTAAAGATTTTCCACTGCTGTGTTAATTTATTTGAGATTAGACATTGTTTATAATGTCCTTAATGGAACTGTGTATTATGAGCTTTGACATTCAGATTCATCCTGTCAAGATGACTTATAAGTAAATAAATCTTAAAAGGTTAGAATGTTGGCATGCCCCCAGTTCCTTCAAATTTGACAGTTACATTTAATATGCATCATCAAAGCTAGTTTTTAAAGTTTTAAATAGTAATTTTTCTCACTGTCACTGATAGCACAGCACTAAAAAAAATTGGGTATACTGAGTTTTTATGAAAAAGGATACACTTTCAGAGAAACTTTGTATATTTAACTGTAAGAAAGAAATGCACAAGGTCATTGACATTGTTTCTCCTGGTTATTGCATAGAATCAGATAAGGTGGCTACACTGATTGTTTGCCCTGCTAGCCTGGCCCAGAGCACCATCCTCCATTGAAAATTACATGATTGGAGATTCCTAGGGAGAATCTGAATGGTATGGAGAACATAGAGGTATCTCACTGAATGGAATAACTACCACAAAAGACTTTGAGGAGAATCACCTGGAATTTGTAATAATAGTAGAGTTTGGGTTTAGCATTGTGGCCCCATATACAACCTATTGGAGCAATATAGAGGAACTCCTGAGAACGCTGATCTTAGTTAGGCAGAACTAGGGCATGGTTCTCATACCTTCCAGTTTTGTCAACTTTATTTAGCAAGTGATGTGTTTTCCGCAGGTCTCCACCCTCACCTGGGAAGTCAGTGTAGTAGAAGTGCTTTAAGGAACATGAGAACTCTGAGGTGGTGAACAGGGAGCATTTTATAAATGTTTGCTGCTCTTTTTTCTCTTGGTATAAATGAGCAGACTTGATGCCAAGTAGTGAAATCATTCACCAGCATCACAAAGCTAAAACTCAGAAGTACTTAGGCATTAAACAAGTTAGATGTGTGGTGAATATATGTTGAAAGGATGCTGTTGTTTTCGTTGTTTGGATTAGTTTTGTGTTTTAAGATAGGGTTTCATGAAGCCCAGACTGGCTTTGAACTCCAGATCCTCCTGCCTTGGCTTCCTCAGTGCTGAGGCTGCAAACAGCCACCATGCACATCTGTGCGAAAAGAAGTGCATGTTAATAATGTACTGATCTAAATTCATAATTTGTTTTTCAGGTTACATCAAGGAAGATCTTGATCTTTGCCCTCGTCCCAAAAGACGGCAGCCTTACAATGCAGTGTTTTCTCCAAAGGGCAAGGAACAGAGGACCTAGATGTTTGAGTCAAAGCAGAGCAGATGACCTGTGGGGTTTTTTTTTTTTTTAGTTATTTATAGTTAAAGTTGTAATAAACATTGATCTTTGATTTTTTTGATCTTCTATAAATTGATTTATAAATGAGTTTTCTATTAAAAATATTTCAAGCAACATTTACCTACTATACAAATAGCTATTTTAAAATGTGGATGTGTTTACTTATTGCTGTGGGTTTTTTTGTTTGTTTGTTTTTGTTTTGTCTTTTGTGCCTTTAAACAATAAGGCATTTTATTTTTCAGTCTAACTCAAGGGTTATTTACTTTTGTCCTAGGGTTTCTGTGGCTGTAAGAGATACCATGATCATGGCAACTCTTTTTTTTTTTTTTTCATGGCAACTCTTTTAAAGGAAAACGTTTCATTGGGGCTAGCTTAGTTCAGAGGTCTAGTCCATTATTGTCATGGTGGGATGCATGGTGGTGTATGAGCAGACATGATGTTGGAGAAGATTCAATCTATATCCTGATGAGCAGGCAGCAGGGAAAGAGTGCCACACTGGACTTGAGCAT